GGCTCCCACACAGAGCCACGGGGCCAGACAGCCTGGAGGGACATCGTTTGGAATTCACTTCCACAAACATAAGCCTCACGTCTTTGGCTCCTAAGGGTTAATTTAGAGGTTGCAGACCGGGCATTGCCCGAGGGCGCCCCGAGCTGGTGCAGCCTGAGCAGGCGGCCCTGGTGTCCCGGAGTCGAGTTCAGCGTGTTCTGCCCTGGGGCTGAAGAAGCTTCCTCCCTCCTCTGCAGTCGGAGTGTTTGTGCCATCTGTGCTCCCGAGAGCTAACAGCCAGCTGTTTGGTGTGTCCTGTCAGGAGCTGGAGGGAGCCAAGACCTTCTTCTGGACTCCCAGTGTTTCTGGCAGGTCAGTGGCTCAGGTCGGGGGTGATCTGCAGGCTGAGCCCTCCATCCCGAGGCCCCCTTTTATCTGCCCGTTCCGGTCACAGAGGAGCAGCCGAAGCCAAGGGGCCGTCCACGCTTAGCCACTTGGCTCCGGGGTGTTACTCTTGTTCCTTTGCTTTCCATTTGAGATCCAGTGGCTGGAAGTGCTGGAACTGCCTGTTTCTGCTGCGGTCTTCATGAGAGCCATCTGTAGGGCCTTCTGTTAGTCAGGCATTACACGAGTGTGTATTAAGCATCTGCTGTGTGCCATAGATTGTGCAAAGTGCTGTACATACAGTGACAGAAATGAAATCATCCCTGTCCACAAGGAGCTAGGTGGCATAGTGAATGGAGGGCCTGAGTTAATTCCTGCCTCAGACACCTACAGCTGTATGATCTTGACTTACTCAGGCTGTAAAATGGGGGTAATAATAGGGTTGTTGGGAAGATATTATAAAGTACTTTCCAGATCTCAATGCCCTATAGAAATGTAAGCTGTTATTGTCACTGTGAGTGCATATGTGCATGTATATTCAGAACAAATGTGAGATAATGCTACTGGCCACTGGGGAGATCATCAGGAAGAACTTTGTACAGAAAGAGGTCCAATGAGAATCAGGTTATTAGAGCTGGAAGAAACCTAAGAGCCCCCCCCCCTTTAAAGTGGCCCAGAAGGACACAGAAACCTGTCCCAAGGCACGGAGTAGCTAAGCTGGACCCTTCTTAAGTCTTGCCATCATGGGTGCCCTCCAGACATCTGCCTCTCTCTGCTCCCTATCCTGCCTTGGCTCCCTGTGCCCTCTACTCATGTATTTGGAGAGATGTCGTTTTCTTCTTGGGGTATTCCATATGCATGCCCTCCTGGAGGCGGTTGCCTGTTTTCTCATTCTCTTGCCTCCTTTCATAGCACCTCAGAGAAGGACATCTTTTCTTGGGATGTCCTTGCCCTGGTAGACGTCAGGCTCGAGGAGGAGCTGTCCCATGCAGATACCAGTCCCTATGCGTCAGTCAGGCTAGCTCTCATCGGAAGCCCAGGACACTATCAGTCTGACCAGGATGCACTAGTTTCCCCGATTCCTCTGCCCGTGAGGATCGATAACACCTAAACAGGACCTATTTCTCTCACAGTGGAAGGGTAATGGGAATCCAGAGTAGTGTTAAAACAGGGATGGTGACTCGATGGCTTTTGAACCTGGTCTTCAAGGGAGTAAGGAGGCTGATTTGGCAGATGGGTGGGCGAAGGGCACTTTAACTTGTGTATTTTACAGTACGAGAGGAAAAAGGGACTGGGGTAGGGAGGAGCATGAGCAAACGTAACCGAGGGTGACCCCCTGGATTTGGGGCCGGAGAGGTTGAATTGAAATCCCGGCTCTGCCGTTGACATCTGTGTGCCCCTGGCCAAGGCACATTTCTTCTCTGGGCCTCAGTCTCCTCATCTCTCAAATGAGGCAGTTGGACTCAGTGATCTCCACGAGCCCCTTCAAACTGTAAGTCAATGAACTCTTGATAGCCAGCAAATCCATGAAACTCAAGAAATGGCTCTCTTCCTCACTCAGTAGCCTTGTTTTCAATCCCAGATGTCATAGTTGGAGGGACTCGGACAAATTGGAATTGTAGCCAGTGGAGGACAGCCAGGAAAGTGACGAGTGTGGGAATCTGATCTTATAAAAATGGCCCAGAGAGCAAGGAAGAGATGTTTATTTTGGAGGGAAGGCAGCCTAACCAGAGCGGTGTCACTAACATGTGTCAGTATTCATTCAGTGCCTCCTTTGTGCCAGGCATGATGGTGGGCCCTGGGAATTCCATCTCTGCTCTCTCTTGAGGAGCTCACATTCTCCCAGGGGAAACAACATGTATGCAGAATCAATTGTAAGTCCACCGTAGTTTTGGGGGAGAGGTGCTCGAAGGTGGGGAATCAGGGAAAGGTAGGACTTGAACTCGGGTTCGATTAATCCACCAATAAACATGTATTGAACACCATTTGTTCCAAGCCCTGCGTCAAACAGCGGGGATATAAAAAAGAGGCAAAAGACTGTCTTGTTCTCCAGGAACTCACACTCTAATGAGGAAGGTAACGTGCAAGGAAATCTGTGCAAAACGAGCTGCATAGAAGTGGTAAATCATTAGTGGGGGAAGGCACTGGAATCAAGAGGGGGTGGGGAAAGCAGGAGGTTCCACAAGGCAGAAGCCAGCAGGAAGAGCGTTACAGACGCGGGCCCGGCATGCGCACAGGCAGGAGACGGGAGCATTGCGTTTGGCTCTTCTGCCCCTCTCGCTTTTCTTCCACATTCACTCAGTCATCAAGTTGTTGTCCTACCTCTACAATATCTCCTAGTCTGTACACTTCAGGAGGGCAGGGGTCACGTTCTTTGTCAGGTTATCTGTGCCCCACGGCACTCAGTACTCTGTGCTAGTAAGCTCTTAAGGTGTATTTACAGAGCACCTGTCCCTTATTCACTGAGGTAGGACCCTTGTGGGGGCAGAGCACTGTATGTCCTGCTGCACTTGATGAATGTGTTGGCCCCTGGGGCCTCCGAGCAGGAGGACCCCACCCCTAGACCGGAGCAGCAGCAAGGCCCCTCCTTCAGGGCCAGCCCCCAGCGACAGCCGCTGTTACGTTAGCAACCCAGCAGAAAGGCCTCAGCCCCGGGGCAGGCTGGCAGGGAGGCCCCACTCCCCGGGGCGGGCCGGCAGGGAGGCCCCACTCCCCGGGGCAGGCCGGCAGGGAGGCCCCACTCCCTGGGGCAGGCCAACAGGGAGGCCCCACTCCCTGGGGAAAGCCAGCAGCAAGACCCTGAGCGAAGCTTGGGACAGTGTAGGACCAGAGCTCGACTCTCACATAAATACACTGTCACAGAAAAAGGTAGGAAAAATGAGCAAAAACCAAATGAAAACCTTGACTATAGAAAGTTACTATGGTGACAGGATCAAGGTATAAACTTAGAAGAGGACAGTAGCGTCAAAATGGCTACATGGGAGCCTCAAAGGAAAATGTAATTTGGTCTCAGGCCGAAAAGGAATTTCTGGAAGAGCTTAAAAAAGATTTAAAAAAAAGCAAATTAGAGAAGTAGAAGAAAAACTGGGAAAGGAAATGAGAGCAGTGGAAAAGAATCATGAACAAAGAGTTGATAACATGGGAAAAGATAGACAAAAATTTACTGGGGAAAATAACTCCCTGAAAAATAGGATTGGCCAGATGGCCAATTATTGCTCTAGGTAACATTTCTAGCACAATGTTAAATAATAGAGATGATGACAGGCATGAGAAGCTCTGGAAAAGTTAGATATGGCGGATCTCTGGAGAAAATTGAATGGGAATAGAAAGGAATGTATATTTTTCCTAGCGGTACATGGCACCTACATAAAAATTGACCACGTATTAGCACATGAAAAACCTCACAGCCAAATGCAGTAATGCAGAAATAGTCAACGTATCCTTTTCAGATTATGATGCAATAAAAATACATTCAATAACAGGCAATGGAAAGAAAATTTAAAAATTAATTGGAAATTAAATAATCTAATCCTAAAAAAACTGAGTCAAAGAACAAATCATAGAAACAATTGATAATTTCATTAAAGAAAATGGCAACAATGAGACAGCATACAGAAATTTGTCAGGTGCAGCCAAAGCAGCACTTAGGGGGAATTTTATGTCTTTAATTGGTTACATCAATAAAATAGAGAAAAAGAAGATCAATGAATTGGGTATACAACTAAAAAAAACTAGAAAAAGAACAAATTAAAAATCCCCAATTAAACACCAAATTGGAAATGCTGAAAATCAAAGGAGAGATTAATAAAATTGAAAGTAAGAAAACCATTGAATAATAAATAAAACTAGAATCTGGTTTTATAAAAAAAAAACCCTAATAAAATAAGTAAACAGTTTGTTAATTTGATTTAAAAAAAAAGAAATAAAAAAGCCAGATTACTAGTATCAAAAATGAAAGGGGTGAATTCACCACCAATGAAGAGGAACTCAGTATAATTGGTAGGAACTATTTTGCCTAATTATATGCCAATAAATTTGACCATCTAAATGAAATGGATGAGTATCTACAAAAATATAAATTATCCAAATTAACAGAAGAAATAAAATGCTGGACCCGGTCTTCGAAAAAGAAATTGAATAAGCCATCAATGAACTTCCTAAGAAAAAATCCCCCGGGACCAAATGGATTCACAAGTGAATTCTACCAAACATTTGAAGGATGATTAATCTTACTACTGTATTAACTATTTGGGAAAGTAGGTGAAGATGGAGTCCTACCAAATTCTGTTTATGACAGAACCATAGTGCTGGATAGCGAAGTCAGGAAGAGGCAAAACAAAGAAAGAAAATTGTAGACCAATTTTCCTAGTGAATATTGGTGCAAAAATTTTAAATAAAATACTAGCTAAAAGATTATAGCAATACATCACAAGGATCACACACTGTGGCCAGGTGGGATTTACAGCAGGAATGCAGGGCTGGTTCAAATTAAACCATCAGTATAAGTGACCATGTCAATAACAAAGCTGGCAGAAGTCGTACGATTGTCTCAGTAGATGCAGAAAAGGCCTTTGAAAAAAAGACAGCACCTATTCCTATTAAAAACACTAGAGAGCAAAGGAATAAATGGAGCTTACCTTAAAATGATAAGTCATGTATTGTTGAAAACCAGCAGCAAGCATTATTTGTAATGGGGATAAGCTAGAAGCCTTCCCACTATTATCAGGGTGAAGCAAGGGATGCCCATTATCATCTCTGTTATTTCATATTGTGCTAGAAATGTTCGCTGTAGCAATAAAAGAAGAAAAAGAAATTAAAGAAATTAGAATAGGCAATGAGGAAACAAAGCTATCATTCTTTGCAGATGATATGATGGTATACTTAGAAAATCCTAGAGAATCAACTAAGAAACTACTTGAAATAACCAACAACTTTAGCAAAGTTGCAGGACACAAAACAAACCCACATAAATTACCAGCATTTCTATATATCACCAACAACATCCAGCAGCGAGAGATAGAAAGAAAAATTCCATTTAAAGGAATTGTAGACAATATAAAATACTTGGAGGTCTACCTGCCAAGACAAACCCGGGAACCATACGAACACAACAATAAAACGCTTTTCACAGAAATAGAGTCAGATCTAAACAATTAGGAAAATATTAATTGCTCATGGGCAGGCTGAGCCAATACAGTAAAAATGACAATTCTACCTAAGTTAATCTATTTATTTGGTGCCATATCGATCAAACTATTAAAAATTGTTTTATAAAGCGAGAAAACATAGTAACAGAATTCCTCTGGAAAACCAAAAGCTCAAGGATGTCAAGGGAATCAATGAAAAAAGTATAAAAGAAGGCAGGCTAGTCATATCAGGTCTCAAGCTGTCTTACAAAGCAGTCATTATCAAAACAGTCTCATCCTGGCTAAGAAATGGAGTGGTGGATCAGTAGACTATATTAGGTACAAATTACATTGTAGCAAATGATCATAGTAATCCAGTATATGATGAACTCAAAGATCCAAACTTTTGAAACAAAAACTCATTGTTTGACAAAAACTGCTGGGAAAACTGGAAAACAGCATGGCAGAAACTAGGTGTAGACCAACATCTTATACTGTATACTAAAATAAGGTCAAAATGGGTCTGTGATGTATACATAAAAGGTGGTAGTGCAAGCAAATTATAGAGAGCATGGAATAGTTTACCTTTCAGATTTATGGATAAGGGAATACTTTAAGACCAAAGAAGATATAGAGAGCATCACAGAATGTAAAATAAATAATTTTGATTATGTAAAATTTAAAAGGTTTTGCACAAACAAGACCAATGCAACCAAAATTACAAGGAAAGAAGAAAACTAGGGGGGAAATTGCAACAAGTATCTTTGGTAAAGGCCTCGTTTCTCAAGTATATAGAGAACTGAGTCAAATTTATAAAAAATACCGGTCATTCCCCAACTGATAAATGGTCGGAGGATATATACAGGCAGTTTTTAGACGAGGAAATCAGAGGTATCTATAGCCATATGAAAACGTGTTCTAAATTACTATTGAATAGAGAAATGAAAATTAAAACAACTCTGAGGCACCACCTCACACCTATCAGATTGGCTAATGTGACAGAAAAGGAAAATGATAAATGTTGGAGAAGATGTGGGGAAATTGGAACACTAATGCACCGTTGGTGGGGTTGGGAAATGATCCAGCCATTTTAGAAACAATTTGGAACTATGCCCAAAGGGCTATAAAAATGTGCGTGGCCTTTGATCCAGCAATAGCACTTCTAGGGCTGTATCCCAAAGAGATCATACAAATGGGAAAAGGACCCACATGTACAAAAATATTCATAGCGGCTCTTTTTGTGGTGGCAAAGAATTGGAAATTGAGAGGATGACCATCAATTGGGGAATGGCTGAGCAAGTCATGGTATGTGAATGTAACGGAATACTATTGTGCTATAAGAAATGGTGAACAGGCTGACTTCAGAAAAACCTGGAAGGACCTGTATGGTCTGATGCTGAGTGAAGTGAGCAGAACCAAGAGAACACTGTACATAATAACAGCCACGTTGTGTGACGACTAATATCGATAAACTGAACCCTTCTCAGCAATACGAGGATCTAAGACATCTCCAAAGGCCTTGTGACGGAAAATGCTATCTACATCCAAAGAACTCAAAACTTTAAATAAAAATGTGAAAAAAAATTAAAAGTGTGAAAATGGCAAAAAATAATAATTACTTTTTTTGCCTTATTTAATAGATTTAAGTATTTGGAGAGTTCTTCAGTGAAAGAGACGTCCATTTATTTGGCCTCGAAGAAGAAGCAGGACCAATGACTAGAAGTGACAGGGAGGACTTAACAACGATGTGATTTGTGCTAGAGTGGACCCAGCTACCTTGTGAGGTAGTGAGCTCTCTGTCTTTGGATGGGTTCCAACGGAGGTTGAGCGACAAATTCCAGGAATGCTCAGAGGGGATGCATGTACCAGGTGGGAGGCTGGGTGTGAGGACCCATGTCTACAGTGCCATCGGCAATAGCAGGTTTTTATCAAGGCCTTTGTTTGGCACACACTATTTGGTCATCTCATCACACACACGTCTTACCTCAGGAAGTGGATTGGAGTGACTAAAACAGAAATCTCCCTGAGAGGGCTAGTGAGCCACCAAGCAGTTGGGCCTCAGGTGTAGAAAAGCAAGGGAGTGGGGTGGGGCCAACCAGTGGTCAAGGACGGGGGCTTGTGTGCAACGAGCTTTGGTGACTGAATAGTGAGGTGGCCGCCATGTTAGCCATATTCTTGTGGTCTGGGATCCTTCTTCTGTTGGCCAGACTTTTGACCCGTCCCACCTTGGCAGGTGCAGGAGTGGGGGTATCACGAAGAAGCAGCACACACCGCTGATGCTGCCATCCGCGTGACTGACGGTGGGCAAGTTGCTTCATCTTCACGGCCCAGCTTCCTGGTGTGGGTTAGATGGACTCTGAGGTCACTTCCGGCTCTGGATCCTATGGTCCCACGTTTAGATGTCCTGTCAGTCAGTCAGTCAGTCAGTGAACAGTTTATGAGGTGCTTACCGTGTCTGCGGGCGGCTAGGTGGAGAAGTGAATAGGGCACTGGGCTTGGAATCAGGAGGACAGCCCTGGCCTCAGACACTCGCCAACTGGGTGACCCTGGGCAAGTCGCTTCACCCGGTTTGCCTCAGTTTCCTTGTCTGTCAAACAAGCTGAAGAAGGAAATGGCCAACCCCTCCAGTATCACTGCCAAGAAAGCCCCAAATGGGGTCATGAGGAGTCAGACACAGCTGAAACAACTCAGCGCATGCTCTGCTAAATACTGGGGTTACACAAGGAGGCAAAAGACAGCCCTGCTCTCAAGGACCTCTCAGTCCAATGGGGCTGTGCAGCATCCTCGGGAAGATGCTAATGTGATGGCTGTGATCATTTCCCAAGTGGAATCCAGCGTTCTCATCTCCCGCTTATCTCATCGTCTGTCTGCGATGCTTACAGTCTAGATGGAGGCGGGTAAACTCAACGAGCTGGCCGTCCAGTGACATGGCGCGACCTGGGGAGTCTGTGTTCTTCATTCACTTGGTCTTTCTTATGTGAGTTTTCTCCCCCCTGCCCTGTCCCATCACTACATGTTTATCTTGTATAAATCCTTCATGTACTTCTCTGGGTAAATGTTGCACCGTCTCCTTAAAATGTAAGCTTCTTGCGAGCAGGAAGTCATTCACTTCTATCTTTGCATCCCCGGTACCTGAAACATTATAAGTGCTTAATAAATGCTTGTGGGGGAGTTGATTGGACTGCTGTTGACCTGTCCCTTTGGGTCAGGGAGAGTGCCTTGGGTCTTGTGGGCCCACCACACCAGAGCCTCTCGTTATTAAGGAATCCCTCTACTCTGTGTGTGTGTGTGTGTGTGTATACCTGTGCCTGTGGGTGGGTGGGTGGGTGTATACATGTGCCTGTGGGTGTAGGGCATCCTCCGTGACACGGTGAGCCTTTACGTCCCCGCTGCTTTGCTTAATATTGTGAGATATACTCCATTTGGACCCCTACTCTATTCCACTCAGTGTTAATCAGTTGGATATTTTACATAAATCATATAGAGATAGATAGGTTCTTATCATGGGTCTCGAACTTTAACATAATGTTCACTACTGGTTTACCACGTTATGAGGCTCATTTGCGGAACTCCAAGAATGCTGACAAAGATGTCTCCATCCTGTTTTGCTCAAATTCCACGTCCGGACCCAGCGTGGGAGGGATGCCCCGATGCTTTGGAAAGGCATCCGACTTGTCTTTGTGCCCAGTGTGAGCGGGTGTCTGTGGAGCTGCCCCATGATTCACCCAGCCTGTGACCCTCCTGCTGATCAGACGTTTTTGGCCCTCAAGAGCAAGGTCTGTCAACCCATGAGATTCTTTATTTCAGCATGCCCCTTTTGCGTGTTTGGGTGTTAAACCCTATCAAAATGAGGTCCTGGAAGAAGAGGACATCTCAGATTGTGGTTCATCAGAGGGGACTGGGGACCTTTGACCAGAGTGCCGTTGGCCTGGAGCTCTGCTTCAGTGATTTTTCTTGCCGATCGGGCCGTTCTGATCCCCACAATGCTAATGCTCGGGATTGGTTGAGTCAAGCTGACTCCATTGTCTTGTCTCTGCTGGAGTCTTGTATGATTGGAATCTGTAGAGAGGCTTCGCCTTGCGTGGTGTTTGATGGCTGCTCCCCTGTGTGTCATTGTCACGTGAGGCAGATCAGCTCGCAGTCTCCTCGGCACGTTTTCCCCGCTAGCTTGTGTTCAGCAATGACCTTCTTGACTGACGATGGCGTGTTTGTTAAGGAAATCTAAATGTTGCTGGCTCTGTGATTACCAGGCTCTTTCTGTCTGGGTCCCTGCCATGGACTGTTTTACTTCAACGAAACCTCCCTGGCAAATCATCAAATTCACTTTTGTCCATTTCCTGCTTTGGGGCGGCAGCAGTGTTCCAGCAGATCAGATTAGCGATGCCTGGATTCCTCCTCATTGCCATTTGACTTTGCCTCCTGTTCTCACCAGTTGAAGATCCACGGACAAATTGTAGGAGCTGGAAGGGCGATTAGAGGCCAGCTCTGTTTGTCTGACTCAGTGATGAGATGATTAAGTTGCCTTTGACAGGCCCTTGGGGCCCATGATGATGGCAGTGCAGTCGCCTTGCCCATCTGTTTTGTCTGTGTTGCTGGTCCTTTTATGGTTTCATTTGTATCAAGAAGAGTAAAGTTAATGCTGGCCAATTTCTCCAGGATAGTGACTCGTTGGTCAGTGGACAAAAGTTGCCCAGTGTCGCTACCAGGAGTTAAATTGTGGTTTGTAGATGGCCCAGAAACTCTTCGATTCTTAGCCCCCTTTGTCATTTCTTCCTTATTTCAGACTCACCCACCTAGTCCAATACACATTCAGACAACACTCTTCCATACAACTTGCCTGCTAAAAGGTTTGATCTGTCAGTTAATCGACAGGGAGTTTAGTAGGGAGAATGCAGAGAAAGGTACCCACCATCCCTCTCTTCAAGGAGCTCGCATGGGAGAGAGAATGTGTAATAAATCAGTACATGCAGGATACACGGATGGTGATCTAAGATAGAAACATTTGAGCAGGTGTGTGTGTGTGTGGTGGGGTATATGCCCAAGACCTCTGTGTTGTGGTGTGGTATTGGGGATGGGAACACCATTCCAGTGAGGGAGACGGAAGGATGCTAGAAAGGGGAGACCCCTGTCCCCAGCTTCCCCATCCCAAGTGAGCTTGGGCCTTTTGGAATTCCTGCAGCACTTAACTGTCTATGTCATCACTTTGTGATTTGGCATATCCTGCCCTGTGTTGTCTCTCTTTGTCTCTTTACATCCCAGGGAAAGTGAGACCCAGGGATAGGAAGTGACTAGTACAAAATTACAGATGTGAGAAGTGTCAGAGGTTGGATTTGAAGCCCTGACTCCAGAGTCCCTATACCACAATAGGAAACTAAGTGACTAGCCTAGGGTCACTAGTTGTTGCCCGCCACCAGATAGTACACCAAACGGAAAGGCGTGAAATAAGACATGAAGTGGGACCAGGCGGAGCAGAAAACTGACTCCGTTTGTTTTTCTGAGGGTACAGGATATATAGAGAAAATCCATCCTACCTTCAAAGAGCCTTCCCCGTGAGGCACTCCCGAAAACATCTGCTGGAGGATGTGATAACATACATTTCCTCCTTATCAGAGTTCCTAGATAGAGTTGTAAATTCCAAGGCTCTTTCCTGGCTCCTGTATAGAGGAGTGAATATGTAAATCTGAGGTTCAAAGAGTGAGAAGGAATGTCTGAGGAACCTCCTAACAGGGAGAGATTGGAGAGCCTGTACCTCTTAATTATTGAGCCCTTTTGGGTAAAAGCCTTTTTTTGGGCAAAGGTCAAACTCTGTCCTGGATCTTAAACCCATATCAGACTCTTAAGATCGGCCCTCTACAAGCTCCTCCCTTTACGAATTAGCAAGCAGCTTGAGGCGGTAAACACTGTGATCCTTGATTTAATTAAGGTAACAATACAGGGGATAATAACACTGCCCAAGAAAATGCATGAAGTAACAAGGCAGGTAAATTCTTAAATATATTGATCGCACTTAATTTCTCTAAGATCTCTACAGCCAGATTTTTTGGGTTGGCCCCCAGGGAATGACTGTCTGCAATCTCCTGGGTGGTATTTAGAATTGTGCCAGGCCCCCAATAGGCAGGCACTTGTCTTGTATTAGGATCTAAAGCATCATAGGGTAGCAGGATAATGTAAATATGTGAATATCTGTAATCACATTACAATAGCAACCTTGTTTTCAAGGGTTCTAACTTATCTGCTAAATACAATACTGATTGTTCTAATAAATTGACTTTATACAATGTATCAATAGCTTCTTGTGCATTAAGTACTAAACATATTTTTTGCTAAGTCATATACAAATTATGCAGTTTAGATTTCAGATTGTAGCATAATAGATGAAACAGCAGTAGATACAATAAAAGAAGCAACAATGATTAAACCAATAATAAGGAGACAAATAAATTGTTTGATTGACTTAAGGAGGAAGTAATAATTTGAAGAACATGTTCACCAGAATTCTGAAACTATTCATGTAAAACGTTGGTAGGGAAAATAGCAAACGATGATTGTTCTACCAGAATAGTCATTATTATCAATACATTGTTTGAGAGTACAATTGACACAAGTAACATACTATTCAAAAGTAGTATTAGATTGAATAAAAGTTACATATCCATGAGACAAACTGGTATTAAAAACTGATGTAACAAGGAAAAAACAGGATTCAATATTGTTGCTAAATTTTGAAAAACATATAGGTGTCCTGGATGCTAGAGATCTGAGGGTAATTGCGATCTTGACTTTATCCTGGAGATAGGGATCTTCTTGTCTTCCGAATATACAGGTGTTGTTAGTGTACGTATAGTCCCAATTTGTCCATATACATGAGAGGCTGCATCCAGGGTGGAAAAGGAAAAAGAAGTCCAGTGCTGAGCAGTCTGTACATTACACACTTGAGCAGAAAGTAAAGCTACTATTGCTAAAAATACAAGTTCAGGAGTCTTTTATCACTCAATGAGAGGGAGCTTTCACTGGACCCCGTGTGGAAAGGCAACTTGTCACTGTAGATTGGCTCCTTCTGCGCTTTCCCTGAATTCTTATACTCTGTATTCAAGCTGTGAGTTGTTACACATGCTGTGACATCTTTTTCTGGTATCCGGACAGGTTTATCAAAGTTTTCTGAAAAAATATGTAAGCACACCCTTGTCCCCTTGTTAGTAATGGATCCGGGCCTCTGGATGTTTTTAGGCTGGATTGTACTCATCTTTGTTAATATTTAGAAAATTAATAGCCAATTATAAAAATTAATAGCCAGTTGTCAAAAAGTAATAACCAATTATCAATGAGGGGTAGTAGCCCAGATTCCCCCCTCTTTTTTTTTTAAAGAATAATTTAAACATCTTTGTTTTTAATTATATAGAATGTTTCTGATCAGAGAAATGTTATAAAAAGCATAAAAGGAAGAAAATGTTTTGCTAATGGAAGCTCCTCAGGAGCATTATCTGTTTTGATTTGTTTAAGTACACTCATAACTGTGAAGGCTTGTAAAATATGATTGATCACATATTTAATTGTACCACTTGTTTGTAAAGTGGCAAAAATGAAAGAAGAAAAAGTATCCATTATAACATGAATATAAGAAAGCTTTTCAAAAGAAGGCACATAGGTGCATATAGGTCACATCCAATTGTCAGATATGTTTGGGAGAAAAGCCTCTTGATACATTTGAAACAGGCTGTTAATTAAAAAATAATCATTATTCTTTATACTATGTTTCTAATACTGTAGGAGTTTATTCAAAAATAGTCACAAAATGTTTTCTTCTCTACAGTTAAGGTTGTTGTATTGGCAGAATATAGTTAATAAAAGGCTCAATAAAAGCTTAATAAAAGTTAAGTGGCAGCATTGTAGTTAAGAATCAATAATGGCATTGCTTTCAGTATATAATTGTGTATCAGTAATACATTTTAACGTTGCAGTCTCTATATTTTGAGAGACATAAACAGATTACTTGTTATCAGAAACAACATTAATAGGCTCATAATATCTTGCTATACCTGTACTTAACCCATCGATGAATGTCATGGGTGCTGAAGGAATGGGGTTAAATCTAACAATCTTTTTGAAATACCTATGAATAATTAGTAAAAAAAGGTTAATATCTTAAGAAATGGTAAGTAATTATCAAAATCAATATGACCAGAAAAAATAGTAATAGCAATTTGCCATTTCTTTAAGAGGAAACAAGAGTGTCTATTTGCCTTTTATTATAAGGTTAATTAATAACAGAAAGTAAATTTCCTGTAAGTGAAAAATTGTAGGGGACCTGGAGTACTAAGAATAGCACCTGGTACCTCTTCATTTAAAAAAATATGGGTGAGTTGAGCTTCAGGAATTTTTCTGTTTGACTAAATAAAGCTCCTTTTTTGCTTCAGGAGTTAATGTCCTAGGGGAATTTAGATTAGGATCTCCTCTAAATGTAAAAAAGAAATTAGCCAGTTGTTCTGTAGTAATTTGGAATGATGGTCAAAACTAATTAGTATCCTCTAAAAGTTTCTGAAAATTCATTAAATGCTTCACTGTTATTTTGGTAACTATATGACCTAGGTAGGAAAATGGAGATTTTTCTTACTTTTTCTTGGGCTATAATAAGCCCATATTCTTGTAAAGCTAAGTGAGGCTGAGGAAATAAATGTGTGAGTTTTCAGTGGAACAACTACAAAGTATGTCACTATATAGTGTATTATTTTTGCATTGAAAAATTTTTTTTATTTGGTTGTATAGCTTTATTAACAAAATTTTGACACATTGTAGGGCTGTTTTTCATGCCTTGAGGAAGGACTTTCTATTGAAACCTGGTTGCAGGGTGTTCTGCATTAACACTGGGTATAAAGCAAAACAACATTTGTCAGCTTCTTACAGTGGAATAGTAAAAAAGCAGTCTTTTAAATCAATAACTATCAAAGGCTAGGAAACAGAATTCATAATGGGTGAAGGGAGACTTCATTAAATAGCTGAGAGGTCACAAAGCATCCTCTATTTCGCTGACTTCATTTTAATAACAAAAACAGGTGAATTCCAAGGATTTGTAAAGAATTCTGTATGTCCTTTTAAAAGTCTTGCTCAACTAATTGCTTTACTGTAAAAAGCTTCCTTTTTGTCAAAAGCCACTGTTTCACCCAAACTAACGAACAGCTTCCCTTAGATGTAAACTATCTTGCCCCCACAAATTAAAGGGAATTAATTGAGTTTCAGCTATCTATTATTCTACTTAGTTTAAATTCATCTTAAAATAATTGATTAGTGGTGATCTACTAGGCAGGCTAAAGTTAATTAATATCTTTAAGAGTTTTTAAAGAATCTTGCCTATTTTGTAATATTTTGGGGGTCTAATTGTAGACTGTGAAACAATATGTCTAAAATAAGCAAAGGGTGGTTTCTTTTGTGCCTTATCAGGAGTAATTATAAATCTTTGAGACTGAAGAGCTTGTTAAAGCTCACACATTAATAAGGAAAGTTCGCTAAGTTTATCATCCATATAATAAATTATTTTTGTCTGGGAATATTTTTGCCCAACAGGTTTAATAGTGTTATGAACAAAATTTTTGCACATGGTGGAAAGCATTCCTTAATAGGAAAACTTCAAATACTAATTTAATAGAGATGACTATACCCAAATTAAACTCAAAACAAAATTAGTTATAGTCCTAAGAGTCTTTTACCTTAAGCAGTAAGTTTCACTAATCATGGCTTAAAGCCAGACATAGTTAATTTTACTCCTGTGGAGTTGTAATAAGTAACAAAGATTTACCATGAGTCACATACATAAGAGATTTCACTTAACATCTTTCTTTCTCAAATTTAAACTTTTTCTGGTAAAAAAGCCAATTATTAGAAATCATTTCATATAGTTGCAGCTTCTCAGCAAGCTAAATTAATTGTTTAGGAACTGCATGATCCTAACAAGTTTTCTCTCTCTCTCTCTCTCTCTCTCTCTCTCACTCTCTCTCTCTCTCTCTCTCTTTTTTTTTCAGGCAGATGACCTTGCCCACAACAATAATTCCAGGAGCCCTGGCAAATTTACAAAGTAGAGGAATTGCCTTGTGCCCCTCCTTTTCACTCATAAGTAATTAAAAATTCTAGATTTTAACATTAAAACAGTAACTTCAAATAACTTAATTAACAATCTGGTAATTTTCATAAGTGATAGTCAAATTGTTTTAACTATCAGCTGTTCTTTAATTACAGGTAAAGATGGAAATACCTGACTTTCTAATTGACAGTTATAAAACATTACAAAGCAAGATTAACCAGACTTGATAAAATAATTTAGCTGGTTTTTACACAGCTTTCCCACTGTCTTTCAGTCTTTTTTAATTCACATTTTAATAACATCTTAATTATTGAAAATTGTTTGACATAACACAGAACAATACAAAAGTTTACCAATTTGTAATGAGACTAGATTTTTAAAATTTGAAACAAGCATATTGCTAATGTGAATGAACTAAATTATCTTTAGATTGTGTTCCAATACTTAAAAACTTTTCTTTTTGAATTGGAGAGGAAAACTCCTCCTTATCTTCTCCTTCTTTCTCCCCCACCCCAACCTGGCCAGGATTGGAATTCGAGAGAAAGGAAGAGAATATTTTTCAACATAATCTTTCAATCTTACACCCAAAGCTTTGGCCAGGGCTTTAGAATGCAAAAAAGAAAGAGAATTTTTTCCTAACAATTCTCAAAAAGTTTCAAAACCTTTTTACTTTCAAAACCTCTAATCACACTGTGCAAATAAATTATACCTTCCTTAAGCTTACTATACATACCCCTCTCTCCTACATGCTTAAACTTATTTGCCTAACTAATTTTAAGTCCATGGGCACTTCTTCCTCTCTGCTTTCTGCCCTTTGTATCTCCTTTTCTAACAAGCCCTTGCATTTACATTTTCTCCCAGGCAGTTGTTTAACTGAAGGTAGATGTACACCTTTCTGTTACTCAGGGGAATGCACATCTCTCTGTTGTTTAACAGAATCTTCAGCTATGCTCAACTGTTCCTCAAAGGCCTTGTGTGTTTCTTCTTCCTCTTCTGTTCCTGCCCTCTTATCTACCCGAATCACTTTCTCAGCTACTAGTAGTTGCTTGCCTACAATCTCCCATTTCTCTAAATCAGTTGTTCCTTCTTGTGGAAACCATGGGCAGCATTTTTCTACACTTTCTAAAAATTCCTGTAGCTGACTGTTTGGAATAACTAAACCTCTTTCTTTCACTGTTTTCTTTAGTAAACTTAGGTAATAATCTCTATCTGTTTTTCCACTTTGTACCTGACCCATACTTTTGAATCTTAAGGGCTCCTCTTGAGACCGACAGTATGTATGTGGGCCTTTCCAAAGCGACACTATTTCTTATGCTCTAAGTACCGAGCCAGTTTCTAAACTTTCTAATCAGTTTCTTGTAATTTATAATCTCCCACGTAAGCCTGGTGATTTTTTTTCCCCTTCGTTCCCTTTACCTTAGTACCACAGCGTCCAGCCACTTCAGGACCTTGTTTTCTGGCACAGTAGCCCGGCGAGGATTTTTTTCTTTCCTCTGGAGCGTCCAATTTCTCAGACTCTTTGTCCCTGTTTGGGCGCCATTTGTTGCCCGCCACCAGATAGTACACCGAATGGAAAGGCGTGAAATAAGACATGAAGTGGGACCAGGCGGAGCAGAAAACTGACTCTGTTTATTTTTCTGAGGGTACAGGATATATAGAGAAAATCCATCCTAACTTCAAAGAGCCCTCCCTGTGAGACACTCCCGAAACATCTGCTGAGGATGTGATAACATACATTTCCTCCTTATCTGAGTTCCTAGATAGAATTGTAAATTCCAAGGCTCTTTCCTGGCTCCTGTATAGAGGAGTAAATATGTAAATCTGAGGTTCAAAGAGTGAGAAGGAATGTCTGAGGAACCTCCTAACAGGGAGAGATTGGAGAGCCTGTACCTCTTAATTATTGAGCCCTTTTGGGTAAAAGCCTTTTGGCAAAGGTCAAACTCTGTCCTGGATCTTAAACCCATATCAGACTCTTAAGATCGGCCCTCTGCAACTAGTCAGGGTCTGAATCATCTTACTGTAGGTCCAGGGCCTAGTGCCCTTATATATCAATATCAATATTGATAGATAGATTGATTGATATAGACATGTAATTATAGTTATAGATAGCTCTATATCTATATCATCATATCTATATCAAAATATATATCAATATAGAGATATATAGATAGCATATCTATATCTCTCTTTATCTATATGTCTGTATCTATATCTGTCTTTATATCATGCTTTCTCTAGATATTTAAATTTGTCATTGTGAGTCTTTCCAGAAAGAGGTGGTTGGAGGGTAGAGGTGGTGGTAGTGGTGAGATGCTAGCTCATGAGGTAGCCGACTCTGGGGAAGGGGAAGGAGGCAGCTCTATCTGCATCGCATAGCCCAAGGGTCATCTGGAGGTTTTGTCTGTTTCGTGGATCCCAGCCACCGAGTTCCAATGCTTCCTGCTCTTTTTGCTTGCATTGGCTGGGCTTCAGATGCCCCCTGGCATTGGGACCATCTTGGAAGCCTTTCCAGTGTGGGAGAACCCAAGGCGCTCTCTGTGCCGTGAGAAGCTATCAGAATTAGCTGCTTCAGAGGACGGTGAACTTAATCTCCCTTAATAGAGGTAGCTGGGGGTAATAATAGAGTGCTGGCTTTGGAATCAGGAAGACCTGGTTGAGTCTTGCCTTAAATATTTGTGAGCTGTGTGACCCTAGGTGAGTCTTGTTATTCTGTCATTTTGTTCGTGCCCAACTCTTTGTGACCCCATTTAGGGTTTTCTTGGCAAAAACAGTGGAGCGGTTTGCCATTTCCTTCTCCTGCTCATTTTGCAGATGAGGAAACTGAGGCAAACAGGATGAAGTGACTTGCCAGGGTCCCACAGCTAGGAAGTGTGGGAGGCCAGATTTGAACTCAGTTGTTTCTGACTCTAGGCCCATTTAATCTCTCTTTGCTTCAGTTTCGTTGTCTGTAAAATGAAGTTAACAACAGCATCCACCTCACAGGACTGCCATGAGGGGGACCAGCTGAAATAATAGTTTGAAGTTTTACAAACCTGAAATTGCCCTAAATGCTGTTGTTATGACTATTTTAACTAGCATTATTATCATAGCTTTTTTATTTTATTTAATCACTTAATTTTCGGTAGTTTGTTCTTGTAGTAAATACTTTTTACTTACTTCATGAAAAAATACTTTTAGGTTTGTGATATTATTACTACTAATAGTAATAGTAGTAGGAACCACTTGTCACATCACCTGCATTTCCTGATGTATCTAGAGTAAGAGAGTGAGGTGCTGCTCCCCCTTTCTCTGTTTCACCTCCATCTGCTGCATTGGGCTCTGTCCTGGGTGCCATGTTGTTGAGAGGGGCATTCAGCAGCTAGAGTGCACCCTAAGGAGGACCTCAGAGTAGGCTAACCATAGGCTCTGGAGTCAAAGGACCTAGGTCCGTAGCTGATGCTCACTCCTACCTTTGGGACCTTGGACAGGTCACTCCCTGGGCCTCAGTTTCCTCCGATGTAAAATGAGAGCCTTGGATTAGATGGCCTCTGAGGACCCTTCCTCTGCTGACCCCAGTTCCTAGTGGCTCTCTCCCAATAGTCCGTATTGATTTTGTATATATTATATGTCCATAGGACCGCAGCCTTTAGGGTGAAAGTCTCTTAATCAGTGTATGTTGATGGATTGAGGGAAGGCCATCCGAAGAAGATGCCAGTTTTAAGTTTGCCTTACCCTACAGCTGATCTGTGCCCAAAGCCCCATGTCTTTGTCCTAAGAAACTCCATAATTTCACATTTGTTTTCCCCACTGATTGTGCTCAGGCCCTGGGCTGCTTCAGTCCAGGTCACAAAGGCTCAACACTTTCTCTCATCGATCCCAAGGCCTTACTTTAAGGTCTGTCTTGGCTTTCACATTGTGAGGTGGTTTTTGGGGAGGCAGTGTGGCTTAATGGACGGAGCAGCGGGCTTGGAGTCAGAAAGACCTGTGTTCCATTGTCTTCTCAGACATTTACTGGTCGTGTGTCCCCAGGCAAGTCACTTTATCTCTCTCAGCCTCAGTTTCACCATCTGTAAAATGGTTATCATAGTAGCACCTACCCTCGGTGGATTGACTCCTAGACAGAATGTCTACTATTTCTTCTTGTGTTTAGTTTTTGCTGCACAGAGGCACCTCGCCCTACTTCTTTGCAGAGGTGGGAGACCCCAAGTGTGGAATGTTACATAAAACGTCAAGACTTTTTACAACGGGGTGGCTAGTTTTGAGGAGCCATTTCCCCTCCCTCCCGTTCTGTTCTTTGTTATAAAGACGGCTCCCTAGGGGACGGCAGGGTGTATCGGGAGATGTGGCTGATGTAAGAGCAAAGGCTATCAACAAACATTTATTTTTTAAAAAAAGCACCTCCCCCACAAAATGATCGTGAGGATCTGATGAGATGATACACAGAAAGCAGGGTGTAGGGTGTGTCCTTTTTGAGAATGAAGGGGAAGAGCCTGCTTAGAAAGTGCTTTGCAGGATGTGAAGTGCTATGCCAATATTAGCTATTATTAGCATTTTGATTTAGCAACGGGACAGCTCTGCTGTGGGGGCCTTTTAGGGGCTCGTTGAACAGGGATGACGACCCAACCCTAATTCTAAGCTCATTTGTTTCATGGCGACCTCTCAGATTAAGAAAGCACCCTCTAAACGTGCAGGTTGGCACCCTCTCTGAAATGTGCAGCGTTAGGGGGGTGGCCAGGAACATTGAAGGTCCAGCGGCTTGCCTGGAGCACGCAGCCATAATGTGGGAGAGGCGGGACCACACCCAGGCTTTCCTAGTTCTGAGCTGGCTCTCCGGGTGTCTGTGAGAATGCAGTCTACGTGCTATCTCTCTATGTTGCTTCAGTCCCCCTGCTGATGGAAGATATGCCAGATGCTAACTGTGTCGTCCTGGGCTATCCGAAGATTAGAGACCATTGTGAGAGAATCCTGGTGCTGTTAATGTTTAACCCTGCTCTCTGAGTTGTTGCGGGCACCTGTTACCTCCTCCTGGGCCATCCAGGTCCAGCCCCCTCCTCCCCCTCCTAGGTCCAGGGACAGGACAGCTCACAGCGGCACCTTCCCCTGTTTCTCTCCCTTTGCAGATACTTTATGATCTCTGTTAGGCCCAGATGGGGAGGCCACTTCTCTCCAAAGAAAATCCTATCCATTCCTGAGGATGTGAGCACGTTGCTACTGGTGTGAGGGCATTAACCAGCTGCAGGTAATGGGCCCACGGGGTTGGGATTTGCAGGAAAGCAGATACAGCCTTTTCCTTCATTCTGCTCTTAGATTCGACGGTCTCTTCTGGGCATCCCAGTTCCTGATTCTTGACCCTCATCAGTTGTCTAGCTTCCTCCCAGAGTTCCACCCTTTTATAGAAGTCTTCTCGGTTCTTCCCAGGGGCAGTCCTTTGGGCCACCTTTTTGTTGGTAAGACAGCTCTAGAATTCCCTAAATCCCTGCATTGAAATGAGAGGTTCCCTCTAAAGTAGAATTTCACAGCTTCCAGAGAACGCTGTCCCCTTACTTTCCTTTTTCACTCCTTTATCTTGTTTTTCCAAGTGCAAACACACCCAACCACGGCCATCGCATGCTCGTTCAGTTTCAAGCCCCCTGATGCAAACATGTCTTGACCAGGGACATAGTCACTCCCAAGGCAGCCTCCATTTCGCCTTGCTGCATCTCTTTGCCTGGAACACTTTAGGAATTTTGAAACTCCTGCGTTATTGAGGTAGTCATATTGGGAATTTTTTAGATGTGGGAAGAAATTTAAGAATCTATAGGTTTCTGGTCTGTTCTTTTTTCCACTGTTCCATACTGCCTTCTTTAAATTAGATAAATTAGATATTTCTGCTTCCAAGCAGCAAAGTGTCTCTTTACCCTCCCTGGGCTGGGCAGTTTGCTTCTGAAATAAAACAGAGATGGAGAGACGGGTGTTTAATGTGGTGATGACGATGATAAGAATGTTCTACTGCTGTGTGTTTGTATCGCACCTCGTAGTTTACCAAACATTTTTATGTACATTATCTCATCTTCCCGCCCCCCCTCCACATACACAATATCCCTGTGGGGTAGACAGCCTCATCACACCTATTTAGGATGAAAGATCACAGCTTTAGTGCCAAATGGGACCTAACAGCCCAGTTATTTTACAGGTGAGGAAACTGAGATGAAGTGACAAGGTAATGCAGGCAGCAAATGGCAGAGCCAGGATTTGAACCCCAGCTGTGGAACCACAGATTTGTAGAGCCCTTTGAAGCCACTTACCTCAATCCCTTCATCTTATACATGAGGAAACTGAGGTCCAGAGAAGTCAGAGAATCCTTGGTCTAGAGCTGGAAGGGACCGGAGAGGTTGTCTAGTCCAAGTCATCACTCAGTCATTCAGCTAGCATTTATTGAGCACCTACTATGTGCTAGGCAGTGAGGTGGTGCCACAGTGCATAGTGCAACAGGCCTGGAGTCAAGAAGACTCCCCTTCCTGAGTTCAAACCTGGCCTCAGACACTTAATAGCTGTGGGACTCCGGGCAAGTCACTTAACCCTGTTTACCTTAGTTTCCTCATCTGTCGGATGAGCTGGAGAAGGAAATGGCCAACCACTCCAGTATCTTTGCCAAGAAAACCTTAAATGGGGTCTCAAAGAGTTGGGCACAACTGAAATGATTGAACACCAGTGTGCTGGGCACTGTATTAAGGGCTGGGGAGGCAAAGAAAGGCAAAAGACAATCCTGTTCAAGGAGCTCATAGTCTGATGGGCTAGACAACATGCAAAAGCTTTGTAAAAACGAGGTGGGGACAGGAAAAATTGGAGATAATCAGCCGAGAGGAGAGAGGTGCTAGGAGAAGGAGGACTGGGAAAAGTTTCACTACATCAGACATTCGCAGTTCAAGAATGGTGCTGCTCGAAGAGAGGGCAGTCTCGCCGTGGGCCTGAGAAAGCTCAGGGGTTGTTGCATGGCTCGACTGAGTTTTAGCAGAGTGCACAGTGTTTCCAAAGGGCGCCATCTTGGCCCCCTTGCAGATCCTGGCTAAAGGTACTGGACACTATTTGAGTTCAAAGTACTCAAAGCTCTTACACAATTGCACAACAAATATGGAGAAAGTTGACTGCCATTCCAGTATCCAGGGAGATGGTTCAAGGCCATCCCGTTGATCCATTGCTTTCTGCCAATATTGACAGGAAGAGATTCTCTTTTATTTATTTTTATTTTTATTTCTTTGCTACCATTTACATTTTCCACTGCAGCTCCACCTCCTCCCTTCAGAGAGCCATCCCTTCAAACAAAGAAGGCAAGGAAGGGAAAGAAACTCAATTGACTAAAACTAATCTGCCCGTCACCCAGGCATGGCATCATGCGTCGTGTCCCACATCCAGAGTCCCCCACCACTACAAAAGCAAGAGGGAAGCGCCTTCTTAAAAGCGATTCTAGGTACGAGAACTTTTGAAGAGCTAGTCTTGCTTTCTGCGATCTTATTCCCAATTTCTATGTCCTTATCTTTAGGAGGGCCTATTTTTAGGCTCCTGCTTTCAAAAAGGACTTTGTGGTCACAGAACCACTGATCTACGTTGGAAGGGATCTTACAGGCCCTCTCATTCAGTGCCCTTATTTTACACTTGGGGAAACTGAGGCTCAAGGTCACATAAGCTGCAAATTTCAGAGGTCTTTCCCGGGTCTTCCTGATTCAAAAGCCAGCGCCCAATAGTTAACCATAGACTCCTAGAATTTCAAAGTCAAAAGCTACCTCACTAGTCATCTAATCCAACTGAGACCCGAATAAGAGTCTTCAGTACTAGAGGTGTCAAACACTAGACCACAGGCTGCATGCGGAAGTAGGTGGCAAGATCCAATAGCTGCCATGTTTTTTCCTCTTTTTAAAAATTACTAATATTGCGGCCATCAAAAACATTAATATTTCAGTTATATAGAGATGAACAAAAAGAGAAGATGACAAATTCTATTAACAGAATCTGTTCTTTTTTCATAAAAGCGTATATTAAGTTTAACAAAGTATTAACAAGAACTGAGAATACAATGCCTACAAGGACCACAGCAGTGTAAATGAGGACAGCCACACAAAACAATAAAAAATGAATGGCGCAAACTTACAAAGAAAAAAATTGACCCTGAAGAAGAGATCTGGCAATGTACACTCCCTCCCATCCTTTGCAGGTATACAGGTGGGGAGCGATACATATATTGTCAGGTTTTTTTTTGACGTGTTAAATGTGTGTGGGACAACTGAAAGTTTCTCATGTGAAATGGAAGCCATACTCCAAAAATTTAGTTAGAGGCTTTAGCATTAGTCGGGCCTAAGTTTTGTTTTCCTGTAAATCATGTGATCGGGTCATACATCTCTGTTGCCCACCCCCTCCCTTGTTTTGTAACCACCACCCCAGCCTTATCTTTGCCACATAAGGCAGTCTTCTAGCTCCCAAGCTTGTTTTGGGTAAAATGTATCTCTTAGTTTCTAGGTAGAATGTAAGGTCTCTTACCTCAACCAATGGGGATAAAGAGATTCAGGTTAAAAGGTGGGAGGGTGGGGCTTTCTTAGAATTTGTTTGTCTAGGGGCATATAACTGCTTGCTTGCTGCTTGTATCCTGCCTCCCTACTCCAGTCCGCCCTGGGTAGGTGATGCCCATTCTTGCGCGAGACTTGCTAGAATAAAACTTCTGTTTCTACTGAGAGAAGCCTCTGAATTTTTATTTGGGTAAGTGGTCTCAATCCCACTCAGTTGGGGACTTGTCTGGCGTTTTCTTTGATTAGGGAGGGGGCTTTCTTGCCAAGGTCAAGACCGAGTGCACATCCGGGATTTCCTGGAGCTCTTGAGCCTCGGAGGGAGGTTACCGCCCAGTCATTGAAATAAACCCAGAGAGAGGGACTTGGAGAAACAGAAGGTTTGTTAGGGCTCCGACGATTAAAAACAAAACTAAGGAATTCTAGCCGGCCGGGGAGCGAGAGCAGTCACGTAAGTTGTATGCGTGCAACCCAGAGGTAAGCACTCCAGGGTCTGGAGGTCATTGGCATAGGGTGAGGGCCCTTTGGGGTGGACTCTAGTTTAGGTGGAGTCCGGGCCTAATGAAAGTGGAATAGATACCTCATCGAAAGGACACCGCTGAGAAAGCTTCATGGGTGACTGGTGAGGAGTGGGCAACCCTCCTCGGTGACTCGGCTGAGCCTTTAGACTCGAGGAGTTTGGTGACAGCTCCCCTAAATTGGTCCCTAGGAATTGGAAAGGGACAATCTAAATCTGCGCAGTCGGAGCGCAAATGTGAGGTACCTATAGATAGTCCTTTAGGCAATCGATTGCAGAATTGGAATGAACTGCCAAAATATAGAGGAAAGGATAGGAAGAACATGATTAAATATGATTTGACGATTTGACGATTCTACAGGGAGGAGGGTTGTTGTATGTATGTTTTTTTGGTGTGTTTGTGTCTGTGAGTGGTATGAGTGAGTTGTCAGTGTGTATCTTTTGCAGCCAGACAGCAAAAGGCTGCAGTTGGACTCTGGAAAGTCGCTTTCTTTCTCTCCCCCTCTTCCTCCCTGGTAACAGCAGCCTCAGAGGAGCGGGTGGATGGGAGAGAGAAAGAGAGAAAAATACTTTATTATTTAGGTTATATGATTGGTAAAAAGCAAGTTGAGAAGGATTTTCGAAGTGTCAGGTCAGAATTAGAAATAAGACATGCGCAGTCTTAAAGGGACTTTAATCAAAGTCCATTAGAAAGAAAGGCAAGAAAGTTTAAACATGTAGGAGAGAGGAGTATGTGTAGAAAGCTTAAGGAAGGTATAATTTATTTGCACAGTATGAATAGAGGTTTTGAAAGTAAGAAGGTTTTGAAACTTTGGGAAAAAATAATAATCTCTCTCTCTCTCTCTCTCTCTCTCTCTCTCTCTCTCTCTCTCTCTCTCTCTCTCTCTCTCTCTTCATTCTAATTCTGGCCAAGTTTGAATGTAGAGGCAAAGAGAGAAAAAGGGAACCTTTTCCCCTCAGATCAAAAAGAGAGGTAGCACTTAATCTTTTCTGCCTTACATAAAAGAGAAAAGTTTTTGTGTACCAGAACATAAACAAAAGGTAATGTATGGGCAGCCGGGGGCTGTGCTGAGGGCTGCGGCTTGTTGGAGATGACTGGGTTCGACTGCTGCCGAGCCCCACGAGCCCCAACCCATTCAAATGGGTAAAAATGTGATGTTTTTAATGTCAGAACTTGTTACACTGTTTGGCACTAAGGTAAATTGGGAAAATGTAAGGCTCTGAAATCTGTCACCTCAGTTTATTTCACATGACTGGAAGGTGCCTAACACAGTACCTAGCAGAAGGCAGACACTGAAAATGTTAACAACTGTTCTTGAATTAGATGTGACCAGTTGGAAATGCATTCAACAGGACTGGAGCCACTTGTTTGGTGATGTGTTTGTTTCCAGTTTTAAACATCTAGTATTGTTTGAAATGGGTAAACTTTTGTATTGTTATGTCAAGTGGCTTTTCATAATTTGCATGTTATTAAAGTAAATTGAAAGAAACTAAAGAACAGTGGAAAATAGTGTAAGATGAGTGAATTGTTTAGAGTGCACAGTAAAGTTGTAAAAGCAGTTTGGGAAAGAGAGAAGGGGAGGGAGAGCAATTCTCTCCTTTCAGATTTGCAAAAAGAAAGCTGAATAGCTTTAGATAGTTCAAGTAAGTTGAGAAGGTGTGAGGAAGTGGTCTGTTTAAAGTAGAAAGATGGAAAAAAATATTCTTTTTTTTTTTTGCCTAATTTAAAAACCAATAGATAAAGTTATGGAGAGATGGAAGGAATTATGTTCACCCACCTTTCAGGCTAGATCTGTGGGTGGGTTCTATTAGACCTAATATGGATACTGGCTATGGTAAAGATATTGGTTATAGTGAGTTATGATTATTACTGTTCAATTAATTACAATAGGAGATTCCAAACTGTTTGTAAAACTTTCGCAAGAAAATGTGGACGTGAATGTGGATAATATCCCTTTATAAAGGGCCAAGGGTATTGAACTTAGAAATGTGTATTTGTATAATTTTAAGAGCATGTATTGTTATTTGGCATTAAGAAATTTATTAACTATGTGGCCCCAGGAGACTGGTGAGTCTGGTGAAGGGATCTAGAAAGAAAGAAAAAGATTTTTTTTGGGGGGTCTGTTTTCAATTGTATTAGTTACGTTGCTGGAAGGGCAATTTCTTTTATAATCTAGAATGTTAAATTAATTGTGTATTTCCTTCTAAGTATTGTAATTTAAGAAAGCATAGAATTTCCAAATTTTGTCTGTATTTAAAGGGAATGTTCAGTTAAAATTGTTTTGTTATCATTTGTGAAAATTTGTGAGATTGTTAACTAAGTTGTTCGGGGTTACTGTTTTAATGCTAAAACCTAAAAGGGTTAACTAATTACTCCTTATTTTGTAAACTTGCCAAGATCCCTGGAAACCATCTGTGTGGGCAAGGTCATGTGCCCTGAGAAAAAAAGTTGTTAGGATAATGCAGCTCCTAGACAATGAGCTTGGTTTGCTGAAAAGTTGCAAGTTTATGTACAATAGATAGAAATGATTTTTAATCATTGGCTTTTACACCAGGGCAAGTTTAAATTTGAGAAGGAAAGATGTCTCTTATGTGTGTGAGTCCTGGTAAATTTTTATTGCTTATTGCAACTCCATGAGAGTAAAATTAACTGTATCTGGCTTTAAGCTGTGATTAGTGAGACTTGCTGTTTGAGGTAAAAGGCTCTTGGGACTATAACTAATTTTGTTTTGAGTTTAAATTTGGGTATAGTTGTCGGCATTAAATCAGTATCTGAGAGAAATGCCACAAGAACAGGTAGAGGTCTATTTCAAGGAAATGTAATTCATTTGGGAAAAAGACGAGGGGACAATCTTAGTCTCCATCTAGGATGGGATCCTCCTGGCTCAGTTTCCTCATTATGTTCCTTTGGAAAGGAATGCTTCCCACCTGACTATTCCTGAGTTTGCCTACGAGGAGAAACAGATACTGCAGGATTAGAGAACTGCGACTCTATCTGAATTTAAACAAAGCTAAGGATGTTTAGTCTTGTCAGATTTGATACGTCACCTCTCCCTGATCTTTTTCCTTCTATAGTAAGTTTCTATGATCAGAGCAAGTAGTCAGCATGAGACATAAGAAAAGAATTAGATTATAGTCATATCTTAAACTGATTGTTGGAACTTGCCAGGACTAATGACTGACTGTTTCTGAGTCTAACTCCAGGTGTCCTTAACTGAGACCTGGCGAACTGTAAGTCTGGCTCAATGCAGTTTGCAGTTCGACATAACTCTGTCTGGAGTTGACAGGAAGTTGGAGAAAATATTGTCCCCTTACTCTAATCTCTTAGTGACAAGTTTCTATAATCAGAAGGTTTTATAAGTACAGTAACAAATTTACTAAAATAATTTATTATGGAACATCTTAGGTTATTATAGAACTGGGACTGTGTTCTGGTATGAATTGGGGTCTTTTAATTCTTGGTAATGATATGGAGATAATCAGGGGCTTGTGAGAATGTTATTTTGTTATTTGGATGATATCATATTCGTCTAAAGTTTTGTTACCAATGATTAATAATGTCAAAAGAAGAATAGCTTGTGGTTTATGTTGTAAATGCCATCAAAGAAACAAGACATGACTAAAATTTTAAGATTTTGTATGTAGTGTGTTAAAAATTGATATGTATGTACCGAAGCCTGTGATTAATTCCATAGTGAAGTCTCATAATGGATTAATGTAAAGTATAAGACACTGGGTTCTGAGGTGAATTTCTTAAACGTGACAATTGGCCATGGTTCCAGTTTTGAGTTTGTAAAAATGATCAGGGTCATAAGGACTAGAAATAGTGATTTAAAATTGTGCTAAGATCACTTTTGTAGGAGAATGGACAGAAAGCTGGTTCCTACAAGAAGAAGAAGAAGAGGAAGATGCTGAGATGCTGCGCTGGAGATGGCTGGAGCAAATACCAAGGACCAGAGGCCTTCACTGATGATGTTCCTTGCCAGACTCTTTGATTCTTAAAAGGGACAACTGCATTATTGTTTTCTTTTGGGTCTCTGTATCTACATTTGTGAAGAGGCTGCCCCTTTGATTTGTCAATGCTTAGGTTAATCTTTCCCATATTTACTTGAAGGAGTGGTCCTGGTTTGGGGGAACTTGGTGGAAGCAGGTTTTATGGTTCTTATTGATAGCAGTGAGTGGAGTCATACTACTCCCAGTGTGTGTCCCTTGCATGATGCAGTTAATTACCACCACACTGTACAAAGGACACTCTCTAGAATGATTACATTAAAAGAGCCTGTTAGTGAGGCCATAAGACTAATGACATTGGGGAATCAAGGATGGATGGCAGTCAGTCAGGAAGAAGAGGGAAGGTTAAACCCTGATGAAATAGCAAATAGGGAGGCTGCAGAAACTTACCAGTTTTGGCGTGAGAAACTTTCAACTATGAAATGGGGGGGGAGGGGACCTGTGTGGGACAACTGAAAATTTCTCATGTGAAATGGAAGCCATACTCCAAAAATTTAGTTAGAGGCTTTAGCATTAGTCGGGCCTAAGTTTTGTTTTCCTGTAAATCATGTGATCGGGTCATACATCTCTGTTGCCCACCCCCTCCCTTGTTTTGTAACCACCACCCCAGCCTTATCTTTGCCACATAAGGCAGTCTTCTAGCTCCCAAGCTTGTTTTGGGTAAAATGTATCTCTTAGTTTCTAGGTAGAATGTAAGGTCTCTTACCTCAACCAATGGGGATAAAGAGATTCAGGTTAAAAGGTGGGAGGGTGGGGCTTTCTTAGAATTTGTTTGTCTAGGGGCATATAACTGCTTGCTTGCTGCTTGTATCCTGCCTCCCTACTCCAGTCCGCCCTGGGTAGGTGATGCCCATTCTTGCGCGAGACTTGCTAGAATAAAACTTCTGTTTCTACTGAGAGAAGCCTCTGAATTTGCGTTTGGGTAGGTGGTCTCAATCCCTCTCAAATGATATTGCTGATTTTTTTCTCTTCTTTGTTTTTCTTTTCTTTTCTTTTCTTTTTTTAAAAATCTTTTGTTAGGCCTCATGATGGAAAATGCTATCCATAAATAAGAATGAGCTGTGTAGTTTGAATGCAGATCGAAGCAGACTATTTGCCATTTTTTTTTCTTCTGTTGTGTTTTGTTTCTTCTTTCTGGTGGTTCCTCCTTTTAGTTCTAATTCTTTCTTACAACATCACTAATGTGAACATATATTTAGTAGGAATGTATATATGTAGAGCCTATATCAGATTGCACGCCATCTTAGAAGGGAGGTGGGGAGGGAGGGGGAGAAAAATTTAAAACTCAAAAGCTTATGGAAGTGATGGTTGATCATTCAAAATAAATTAATTTTTAAAAATCTTAAAGAATCTCTTATAAGGAATGGCCCTTTGATAAGAGGGAGAAGAAGAGATATGGGGGGAAACCTAGGCAACATAAGCAAAAAATATCAGTAAAATCGGTTTGATAAAACAAAGTAATAACAGAATTGCCTTGGTTTGTTTCGTCTGTATTCCCTCCCAAATTTCTTTTTGTCTTTATTTCTGTGTAGTTTTTAATGTTTTTGTTGATATTCTCATTTCTTTTTTGCATCTCTCTCTCTACCCACTGAGTTTCCCTTCCCACTCTCCTCCCTCCCCCAGAAGTCTGAGGCCGACCTCTTTGGTCATTTCTTCCCGCTGACTTTATGAGGGGTGAGACACCCAGCCTGCTGTTTGTTTTGGTGACCACAGATGGTTCCTGTGTGACTGAGAATATCTTTTTATTATTTTTTTCCCCTTCTCCAACTTCTAGGAGTGATTTCTTACCCTGTGCCCAGGGACACTGTATGCTTCAGCATGGTCCATATCAACTTCCTGAAGAAGATTGTGTATGGGCTCATAGGCTTCCTCCTCTTCCTCACCATCTGTCTGTGGAATGAATCAAAGAAAGGGTACTCTGTTTCCCTGAAACTGGAATCAAAAAACTTCCAGCTGCCCAGGACCCTGCAGTTTTTAGCTAGGAGGTTGGAAACAAAGCCTGTGTACATGACGACAGTGACAAGCTCCCCGAGAGGGAGCAGCGTTCCAAATGACGCTAGAGACAGACCCTGGACTGAGAGGTTCAGGGCCAAGGTCTGGGATGAGGACAGCTCCTCCAAGAACCTTCCTCCCCGGCTGCAGAAGGTCAGGAAGAACTACCTGCACATGAACAAATACAACGTGACCTTTCAAGGGGAGCGCCAGTTGAAGAAGCTCAACTTCAGTGCCTTGCTGTGTCAGCTTGCGAATCGAGTGAAGGTTACCATGATAGAGGGGACAGACTTCCCCTTCAACACTTCTGAGTGGGAAAACTCTCTGCCCCTGAAGAATATCAGAGCCAGCGTTGGGCAGCTGGACACGTGCGCTGTCGTGTCATCTGCTGGATCCCTGAAGGCTTCATACTTGGGCAGAGAAATAGGTGAGCACTGAATCAGTGAGTGCTGATTCTTACAAATGTCAGCGACGTGCACTGGAGTCATTGGCCATTTGGATGGTTGATGGAGCGGGGCAACCTGGGTTGTAATCTTGACTCTGCCACCAAGTAGTGTGATCGTAGGCAAGTCACTTGCTTTCTTGGGGCTTTGGTTTCCTGACATTAGGATAGATGATGGCTCAGGTACTCTCCAGGGCCCAAACTCTAGGACCTTAGTGGAAAAACAAACAAACAATTGAGGCAAAACTGATCTTTGAGCTCTGGCTCCCTGGATAAATTCAGCCCTTCTCTTAGCCGAAGTCCAATCAGGGCAACTTGCATTTATTAAGCACCTGTTGTGTACTTGGCACTGAGCTGAGTGCTAGGAATACAAAGAAAGGCAAAAACAGTCCCTGCTCTCAAGGAGCTTAACAATGCAATGCAAATAACTGTGTCCAGACAAGATACAGAGACAGGAGAAATAGAAGACAATGACAGAGGGAAGGCATTAGATTTAAGTGGGATTGGGAAAGGCTTTTTTTAAGAAGGTGAGATTTGGACTGAGACTAGAACTGCCCAGAAAAGTCTGTCGTTTTTTTTTTTTTCTGAAATCTTCAGCCATGTGGGTCACTGATTTTGACCGAGCCCAAAGGGAGACCAGAGACCATGCAGTCCAACCCCCTCATTTTACAGATGAGGAAACTGAGGGCAGGGGTGTTGAAGTGGCTTCAGAGTTAGATGGCTCATAAGGGTCTGAGGCAGAATTCGAACCCAGGTCTTCCTGAGTCCAGTCTGACTATCTACTAGACTGCACTGGAATCTACTAGACTTCATTCTGGAAGAGGCATTTTGCCGTTAGTAAGAGAAATGAAACACCCAAGGTCTCACATGGCAGTGAGAGAATGCATACAACACAGAATGTCTGGTTATGCTCAATGCCTTATTTCTAGTGGGTATGTTTTTCATCACTCATTGAAATGAATCAAGCCAAGGCAAATAGTGAATGGGGAAATTATGATTTTAGAAGGATGGAGACGTGGGGAGGGGGGTGAGGCAAGGCAAGGGAGGTAATAGAGCAGGTGATGATGTCATATGTCTCACTTTCCTTCTTAAATGGAAAGCCAGGAAAACAGTTCTCATGGCAAATGCGGGAGGACAAAGGAGGGGGAAACGGGCCCCCTTTGGGATCCCTGCTCAGTAGGAATGATGAAATCACACTCCCCCACTGCCCCTTCCCAAGCAGACGTTGTTTACCAACAGGAACTGCCAAGATGAGTTACAGAAATGGATTATGAACTTAGCATTCATCGGCAAACACAAATATTCCAACCTACAAATAACACCCCCCCCAAAAAATGGGTTTGTCTGTGCAACCGTGAACTCTGATCATGGACAGTTTGTTTTTAGAAGGTGTATGTTCAGCAAAGGAGGTTTTTAACTAGTAAAGAGTAGAAGGAACCTCAGTAAGGAATACAGGGAGCCAGGGAGGTGTAAATGGTAAATTTCCTATGTATCCCAAACCAAAAACTCTTCAATAGGTAGCCGTGTTGTCATAGAGAAGTCCCCTTCTCTGTTTCTTTGTTTATGGAAGTATTCATGCATGTTGATTTCATGATAAAAACAAAGAAAAAAAAGTTAGTTAACATGGCAGTAATAAAACCACCCTATTTGTATCCCTCAAAATATCTCTTGCTTTTCTTCTGTGTATTTTAGTGGTTTATTGATGGCCTTTTCCCCCCCATTAATATCATGACTCAATAATTTGAGCCCTTTCTCCCAAGTAGAAAGGCTTCCCTTGTAACACAGAAAAACAGGCAAGCAAAATGAATGAACACACTGAAGACGTCGGCCAGCGTGTGTTTCCTTGTGTACTTGTAACCCGTCTGCCAAGAGATGTGAGGCAGCCTTCAAGATTTATTTTTGTGGATTTTCAAATCAGTGTTTATTTATTAAAATGCTGTGAAATGCTGATGACCAAGCTTAGCCTCAGAGAAGAGATATGAGAAAGACCCTGTCCTTGCCTCTTTGCAAAGATGGGAGAGTGTGTGTGTGGAATGCAGCACATCATGTCGGACTTTTTCCAATATTGGTCAGTTTTGCTGACCCTCCCCCTCCCCGGCCATTTGTAGTCTTCACTCTAAGTGAATTGTGGGAAGAGGAGTGGAAAGGCCATGAGCGTTCTAGCCCAGGCCAGCACTCAGCAGACCATGGCTCCACTTCTGGCCAGGCCATCGATGCTTGGTGTCAGTCTGGGCAAGGGATTTCAATTCCATAGGCTAGAATTCCTCCTTGTATAAAAGGAGGGCGTAAGGTCTCTTCCAGTTCTAACACTCCGTGAGGCAGAGGTCGCTAGCTCTCTGATAAGCCTTGTGCGATTATTAACTAGTTTTTGTGATTTTTTTTTTCATGGTGGGGTGTGATTCCAGGATCATAGGTTTAGAACTTGAAGTGACTTTCATAGCCAGCCAGTCCAACTTCCTCCATTTTTAGATGAAACTGGGGCACAAAGAGGTTGTTTGCCTGATGCCACACAGCTAGTGCTCAGTGGAGGTGGGCTTAGAACCTACGTCTGCTGATTTCAAGAGCCATGCCTTGACCTCCTTCAGGACTCTGCTGAACTCCCTCTTTATGCAGTCCCCACCATTGCAAGTTCATCTTCCCTCTGCTCTGCATAGGTCGTGCGTGGCCCTGGTTATTTACGTGTCGTCTCTCCTGTTAGACTGTAAGCTTCTTGAGGCCGGAGACGGTTTTTGCCTTTCTGTGTCTCCCTGGCGTTCAGCGCCCTGCCGGGAGCGTAGTAAGCGCTTCTTGACTGACTCACTGACCTAGCCACTACCCCAAGCTACCTCTGATGTTGTTTCTGAAAACTTCCATGCAGAGTTAAGGATATTTGTGTAACAAGCCTTCTTCCACCATTTACTTTCATCACGATTTCAGATGATGAAACTGGTAAGTGATTCGCTTCATCGTGTTGTGGGGGTTGGTGTTAGGCTTGTACAAATAGTGTCAGAGCTCGGGCTTGAAGCCCAGATCCTTGGATTCCAGCCCTCTTTCCAGGAGAGGTGCTCCCAGCAACATTCTAAGACTCTAAGAAAGAGCAGGGGCACGCCTGAGCTGAGGGAGGGAGTCTACCTACCCACTGGGAGTTCCTTGTACCAATGAATTAACAGTCCGGTCACAAAAACAAGTCATAAAAGGGTTCGAGCACCGAAGAAGTGATAGATGTTGATGTTGAAATGCTTCATGGAAGTTAGTGCAGTTCCATGGAAAGGCCAAGTAATCCTTGTTCTTTGTCTCTAGAAGGCCCCTATTCAGACCCCCTTTGTGTGTCTTCTGATAGGAGGGAGTGTCCTGAGGAGACCATAGTTTTCCCCCTTAGCCCATCAGCACAGTGAATTTATCAGATTTGCCTGTTGTCATCTTGGAAGTCAGAACTAACCTGGGCCCGAGGAGATGATGTTTGGGACAGGAGGGACAATGTAGAGGACAAGGAGGAAAAGGGAAAGGTGGCGGTGGCAATAAGCCATGTTAGTGGTGGCGAGGTAAATGACCAAGGAGGGGAAACCTGAATGGGGAAGCCGGGGAGGGCCTCTGTGCTTTGGGCAATGGGAGTGGAGAACTCTGGGTCTGGAGAGGAAGCCGGCACTTCACATGCTGTTGCCTCGTTTGGCTTGTCATGGCCTTGATGAGACCACAAGTATTGATCTAGGGGGCTGTCTGATCCTAGCCTTGGCTCATGACCCTCAGTGGGAAAGAGCAGCTTTATGGCCATGAGGTGGTCAAACAGTAATGGGCAGCAAAGCAAATTACGCCTTGATGGGTGGAGACACTGGCCAGGGAAGTTTGGACTTCTCTCAGTAGGCAGTGGGGAGCCATTGGGAATTGTTGAACGGGGGAATAAAAGGATCAGAATCACCCTTCGGGAAGGTCCGTCAGGGAGTGGTGTCTGGTATACATTGGAGTAGGGGCAGAATCTGGAGGAGTGGACCTACAAATCCCCTGACCCAGGGAATGCCAGGGCGTGGGAATTGTCTCCACTAGCGCACTTCTCTGCAACATAGAGTCTTAGCACGTTGCCTAGAGCATTGAGAGGTTTAAGTGATTTGCACAGGGTTACATGCTGGTATGTGTTAGAAGTGGGACTCGAACCCAGGTCTTCTTAGCTCCCAGATCAGCTCTCTGACTGCTGTATTATGCCAATTCTACAGGAAAAATTACAGGATTGTTAACATATTTTAGGTGATTGTTCATCACTGTGATGAATGTGTGTGGTAAAAGCATGAAAGGGACATAGGAAGGAAGAATTGACGAGCTGTACTAGGTGGTAGACACAGTAAATGGGCAGTGAGGTGGTGCCACAGTGCATAGAGTGCCAGCCCTGGAGTCGGGAACTCTTCCTGAGTTCACATTTGGCCTCAGGCACTTGCTAATTGTGTGACCCTGGGCAGGTCACTTCACCCTGTTTGCCTCAGCTTCCTCATCTGTAAAATGAGCTAGAGAAGGAAATGGCAAACCCCTCCAGGATCTTTATCACAAAGAAAACCACAAATGAGCTCACAAAGAGTCATATACAACCGAAAAAAACCCCGACTGAACAAGTAGATGATATAATTGTTGCTGGGGAAGAGTTTGAAGTTCAAAGAAAACTTCAGTCTAGTGATAGATGCAGAGTGAAGCCTTCTTTTCCAAGCATTGTGGACTGAGATGAGCATAGGCTATGGTGGTACAGAGGAAAGAACCCTGCATTTGGAGTTAGAGGACCTGGGTTCAAATCCTGTCCCTGTCACATACAACCTTGTGACTCTGGGCAAGTCATTTCCTCTTGTTTGGGCCTCATTTTCCTCAACTGTAAAATGCATGTGTTGCCCAGATGAGCTCTAAGGTCAGATCCACATCTGTAGGCCTAGGAATCCAGTCAGTTTTCCCTATAGTGAGGAAAAGCCAAATTCTTTGACCCCTTCCTAAAGTTAGGAATGGAATATGAAGGCAAAGATAGGAATAGACACATAGGTAGTTTCTTCCAATTGAATTTATTTTGCCAGAAGAGCAACAAATATTGATTACCTTCTGTTAGGCACTGGGCTGAGCCTCAGATACAGAGGCAAAAACTGCCTTCATAGGGACTTATATTCTAAGAGTGGAGTCGAGGTGTCTATGTAAAATTGTATACAAAATATATACAAGACAGTTCTTCTGAGGTAAGAAGGCACCAGTGTCCAGAAGGGTCAGGGGAGTCCTCAAGGGATGCTTGAACTGAGCTTTAAAGGAAAGGAAGAATTCTAAGAGGCAGAGATGGAGAAGTAAATTCCAGGGACAGGAGATAACCAGCACAAATGTGTGGAGAGGAGAAAGAGAGGGTTGTGTGTGGGAGGAGCAGCAGGAAGGCCGCTTTGGCGGAACCCCGGACCCAAGAAGGGGAATGATGTTTGAGAAGGCTGGAAAGGGGGCTTTCAGCCCAGCTGTGACGGGCTTCAGTGGCCACGTGAATAGGACCATGGATCTAGAATTGGGAGAGAACTTGAAGGTTGTCTAGACCAACCCCCTTCATTTTGCAAATGAAGAAACTAAAGCCCAGAAAATGTTAAGGATTTTTCCAAGGTCAGAAATGTAGTCAGCTGAGGTTTAATTCAACAAATCCCCTGGTTATTTAGCTACTTCTCTTTCTTTTAGCCAAATAGAATACTTCCTCATAAGAATCAAAAAAACAGGAAGAACCTTCAGCAGAACTAACCAACATGTCAAAAAATATTGCACTGTAGGCACTATTCCACAGCCATAGCCCCCCTACCTCTGCAGAGACCTGTCCCTTCACTGGGGACAAGCTGGTCATTATCAAGGTTGCTATGTTCCATTTCCCTTGTTTCGATGCTATTATCCTTTCTATTTGACCACTGTTGCCATTACATGTATGTTGTTTCCCTGGTTCTGCTCACTTCACTTTGCCTCTGTTCCTTTTTTTTAACGTTTAATTTGTATTTTCTCTCAATTACATGTAAACACAGTTTTTAACATTCATTTAAAAAATTTGAGTTCTGCCTTTTTTTCCCTTCCTTCCTAATCCCCCTCTTTGAAAAGGCAAGCGGTCTGATATGGATTATACATGATCAGTCATGCAGAACATCTCCATGTCAGCCATGTTGCAAAAGAAAACACAAACAAAAGCCATGACAAAAACGGACGGATAAAGAATAATAAAGGAAGTGAAAAAGCCGGCTTCCGCCTGCGTGCAGACGCCGCGAGCGCCTTCCCTGGGGGCGGCAGCGTCTCTCCTCACGAGTCTTTTGGAGTTGTCTTGGGTCGTTGTGCTGCTGGGAAGAGCTAAGTCATCCACAGTTGTTCCTCATGCAGGACGGCTGTTACCGTGTGCAATGTTCTCCTGGCTCTGCTCACTTTGTGTCAGTTCGTGTAAGTCTGCCCAGGTCTTTCTGAAAGCACCCTGCTCCTCATTTCTTAGAGCACGAGAGTATTCCATCACAGTCATGCACCGTGACTTATTCGGCCATTCTCCCGTTGATGGGCATCCCCTCAGTTTCCAGTTCTTTGCCATCACAGAAAGAGCTTCTGGGAATATCTTTGTGCATGAAGCTTCTTTTCCTCTTTTCTTTAATCTCCTTGGGATGTAGATCTGGTAGGAGTGTTGCTGCTAGGTCCAAGGATATGGAGTTTTGTAGACCGTTAGGCGTAATTCCACATTGCTCTCCAAAATGGTTGGATCAGTTCACAACTCCACGAACAGTGCATTAGTGTCCCTATTTTTCCACATCCCCTCCAATATTTATTTTCCTTTCCTATCAGATCAGCCAACCTGATAGATGTGAGGTGGTACCTTGGAGCTGTTTTAATTTGCATTTCTCTAGTCAGTAGTGATTTTTAGAGCATTTTTATATGACTATAGATAGCTTTGATTTCTTCATCTGAAAACTGCCTGTTTATATCCTTTGACCATTTATCCATTGGGGAATGACCAATTTATCAAATGGGGAATCAGTTGGGGAATTCTCCAATCAAGTGGGGAATAAGAATCATGTTCTTATAAACTTGACTCAGTTCTCTATATATTTGAGAAATGAGACCTTTATCAGAGAAACTTGCTGTAAATATTTTTTCTTGGTTTCCTGCTTTCCTCTCAATCTCGGCTGCATTGACTTTGCACAAAACCTTTTTAATTTTATCCAATCAGTATCATACCTTTTATACCCCATAATGTTCTCTGTCTCTTGTTCAGTCATAAATTCTTCCCATATCCATAAATCTGACAGGTAAAATAGTCCATGCTCCCTTAATTTGCTTATGATAGCGCCCCTCATATCTAAATCATGTACTCATTTGGACCTTATCTCAGTATACAGTGTGACATATTGGTCTCTACTTAATTTCTGCCAAACTGCTTTCCAATTTCCCCCACAATTTTTGTCAAATAGTGATTTTTTTTTTGTCCCAGAATCTTGGATCTTTGGGTTTGTCATGGATTACTATGGTCTTTTACTACTTTGTATTATGTCCCTAATCTATTGCACTGATCCACCACTCTATTTCTTAGCCAGTACCAAATTGTTTTGATGATTCCTGCTTCATAACACAGCTTGAGATCTGGTATAGCTAAGCCACCTTCCTTTACCGCCTCTATTCTTATGAGTCTTCCCATGCTACTCTCTATCATTCTAATTAACTAATTATTTTTAAATGGCGGTGGTCCCTTAATTTTCACTGAATTAAGGAATAGCTTTCTTAAAAAAACAAACCACTGAGGAACCAGAGAACCTGTTTTTCAGCTCTGAGATGATGGGGTGGAGTCAGTGGTTCTGAGTTTCAGTCCTTGCTTTGACTCGAGCCAGGTGTCTGTGGATAAATCATCTGGGCTCTCTGGCTCTCAGTTTGTTCATCTATAGAATGGGGGGGGTTGGGTGGACTAAAGGAATCTGGAAGTCCCTTTCAGCTCTAAACCACTTCAGGTTTTTGGCCTTGGTCTCCTCTGAAACGAGGAAGCTGGGCTAGGTGGCACCTTTGGTAACCTTCTGTCATTAATGTTCTGTGGTGTTGGGATCTTTAGACAGCTTTAGTGGTTGTCATCATGGCAGCACAGTGGAAAACCGCTGTCACCTCTCCGTTTCGCCATGGTCTCCTCTGTCCTGGCTCCATTTCTCTGTCTCTTAGCTCACTCAACTGTCTCTTCCATATTCCTATGATTTACAGATAGTCATGATGCTGTCATGAGGTTTAATGGGGCACCCACAAGAAAATTTGAACAGGATGTAGGACAGAAGACGACCTTTCGCCTGGTCAACTCTCAGGTAAGACAGCTTGGTGTGGAAAAAAGAGAAAGTTGTCAGCTCAGGCTGGCCAGGGTGTTGAGTCTGTGGTTATCACATTCGTGGCATCTCCTTCGAGTGGCATAATAACTTAATCAGTCTAGCTTATATAATATTAGAATTTAATTAGTATTGTTTAAAAATCACCTGAAGAACACTTTGGGGGGGAAATGGTTTTGGAACATTGTGGATTTTTTTTTTTAAAGTTAATTCTGTTTAAAAAAATATTAAATTTTCACTGCTACCCTTTAAATGTCACCCAATATGTCAGTCAATATTTAATCAATCAACAAACATTTATTAAGCTCCTACTATGCAAGACACTATACTCTGAGAGCAGAGTTTTTGCCTTTCTTTATATCCCCAGTGTTTAACACGTTGCTTGGCAGTAAGCAGGTGCCTAGTACACATTTATTAAATGATTGGGTGCTATTCTGTGATATGGACATGAGAGGAGATGTGTAGCAATAGCTAACATTTATTTAGCTGTAAAGGTTTGCAGAGAACTTTTATTTACCTTGTCTCATCTGAGATTCACAATGACCTTTCTGTAGTCCTGTTTCCAGCACCTTCTGGATGCACAGTAGGTGTGTAATAAATGCTTTTCCTTCCTTCCTTCCCTCCTTCCTTCCCTTCTCTCCTCTCTTTCTCTCTCTCTTTTCTTTCTTTCTCTCTCTTTTCTTTCTCTCCTTCCTTCCTTCCTTCCTTCCTTCCTTCCTTCCTTCCTTCCTTCCTTCCTTCCTTCCTTCCTTCCTTCCTTCCTTCCTTCCTTCCTTCCTCCTTCCTTCCTTCCTTCCTCTCTCTCTCTCTCTCTCTCTCTCTCTCTCTCTCTCTCTCTCTCTCTCTCTCTCTCTTTCTTTCTTTCTTTCTTTCTTTCTTTCCTTCTTTCCTTCTTTCCTCCTTTCTTCTCACACAAGGGAGCTGCCCAGTATGGGCAGATCTCAGGGAAGGCATCATGGAGGAGGTCACATCATAAAGCTAGAAGAGATTTTAGAGAATATGAGAATGTACTCATGTATACTCAGAAAACATTCGATATTTAGAGAATAGCTCCCTTAGGAAGTATGATCTCCTCGAAGCACATTCAGCATGTTGTAGGGGTCTTGAATGCCAACCTAAGGTCTAAAGACTATAAACCCATCAAGGTGTGGCACTATTTTACCTTTGGCTTTGTGTGTCCAGAAACTAGCCCCACACCCTGACACAGAGAAGGGGCTTAACAGATGCTTACTGATTGATTGATTGCTACTTCTCATCTTTTTTCATTTCCCAGATACTTAAATGGTCTCTCAGCCAAATAGCTGAAAGGAACCACCAGAAATTAAGCAGCCCAGTCTCTGACTCCATGTGGCTGGTTTTTAAATAGCCCAGAGAGCTGATTTTCCTTCTTCTTTTAGAGGTCCATCACAACGGACCATCTGTATTGTCTCTGGCAACTTGTCAGAGTGTTTAGCCATCCTTAATTTGAGAGGGTACTACCCATCATTCAGCACGGATTAAGTGCTTACTGGACACCAGGCTACTTGCTATATGCTGGGGATAGAACTTTACACAGAGCACCAGCGAGTGTTTAGTAAGCACCTACTGTGTACCAGGCACTGTTTGTCCCTGGGGATACAAAGACCAAGTGAAACAGCCCCAGCCTTCAAGGAGCCTCCAGTTCTATCCGCATCTTCACTTATGGAGCTGAGAGGCGTTTTCCTTGCCTTCTGGTGCAAGCAAGTCACATGGATGGTCAGCTTGGAGAGAGCGGCTTTCTGAGATTCCGTCTGTTCTAGCAAGGAAAAGCAAACAGCTTTGTTCCCAGCAGGGAGCCAGGCTCACTTCTGAGAAAAGAGTGAACACAGTAGTAGGGAGGTTCCCTGTGACTGCTGCCTTGGCTACGAATGACCCCACTGTTAACTGCCCTGAATCTTTTCTTGGAAAAATCTTTCCTACCCGTATCAACCCATGAGAACTAACTAACTCCTCTCTCTCTCCCTCTCTCTTCCTCCCTCCCCCCCTTCATCTCCCTCTCTTCCCTCTTCCTCTTTTTGTTTCTCCCTCCCTCCTCCTTCTTCTCTGTATCTCTCTCTCTCTCCCTCCCTCCCCCCTCTCCCTCTCCCTCTTCCTCTCCCTCTCCTCCATCCCTTCTCCACCCACTCTTTCTCCCTCTCCGTCCTCCCTCTGTCTTTCCATCTCTCCTTCCCTTCTCCTATTCCGTGGCTTGTCTGTTTCTTACGAGGCTGTTAATCTCAGACACCCATATCACATCCTTTCCACAGTTGTCCTGAATGTTCTTTTTAATAGATTTTGATGAATTTTAAAGAATGACCTAGATTTCTTCCTGCCCCTCTCCCCTCTCCATTTCTTCCCTTCTGGCCCTTCTACCACATGTAATCTTCCTGGTTGTATCTGCTTCACTCTGCATCAGCTCACATGACTTCCCACACTTGTCCTTTTTCCTGAAGTTTCTTGTGATTCAGGAACATGAGATATTTATTTTTATGAGATTCCAACTCAAGTCAGCAAGTATTCATGGAGTCCTGTGTACCTTCAGTCTATACCACTCCTCCATCTCCCAGTTACACTAAGCTGTGATTTTTGACCCGACAGAAAATTAGCTCTTCCATTTCCTCCAATAGGGGCAGCTTGGGGGCTCCACAGCACACAGAGTCAGGAAGACCTCAGACACTAGTGTGACTTTGGGCAAGCCACTTAACCCTGTTTGCCTCAGTTTCCTCATCTGTAAAGTAAGCTGGAGAAGCAACCGGCAAACCGCTCCGGTATCTCTGCCAACAAAACCCCAAATGGGGTCACGAGGAGTTGAACATGACTGAAACAACTGAACAACAAATTCCCTCAATAGAATTTGCATCTTTAAATGATGCAATTGTGATAATTCTAGGAAGAAGTCGAGTTAATTACGTCTAGGAAGTATGTGCTGAGGTCCCCCGAGTGCCCAGCCTTGTTCTGGTCACTGTGGGGAAGGCAAGGGAAGAGAAAGACCCGGTCTCTGAGGTCAGGCAGTCAGAAATCTGATAGGGAGGAGGAGACCCCGGGGAATGATCAGAGAACACTAGGAAAGGCTCAGGACCTCCAGCTGGGACCGCCCAGATGCATGAAAGCACGGTGGCTGAGCGTGGCCTCGAGATGCCTAAACAAGCCAGGGCACAATTCCCTGAGGCTCTGAGTCAGAAATTTGCTTCATTTCTATCTGAAGGCTTTTGGGGCTGAGCTCCAGAAATGACAGAGGCCATTAGCCCAGACTGTCACAACATCATAGGATGATAGAGCGAGAAGGAAACTGAGAAGTCATCTGGACCTGCTCCCCTTTCTTTGTACAGAAGGGGCCGAGTCGAGATTAGAATCCAGATCTCCTGACCCTCTTGTTCGGCACTAATGTTCTGTTCTCCAAGGGCCCGGATTATGATGAGAATACAGGTTTCCGTTCAAGTATGAAGCGCTCCCCCACCCCCACTGCCATATCAGGCTTCATTTGCCCTTATTGGTTGCTACAAAGTCTGGGGCTCAGGAGCGATTTTATTTCTTCCTTTTTTTTATTATTTTAATTTTATTAATATCTTGTTTTTGCATAGCCTTCATTTCTGAATACATTCTTTTCCCTCTCCTACCTGAAGGGCCATCTGTTATTACAAAGAATTTTTAAAAAGAAAAAAAAAGTTCAAAAAAGCTAACCAAAACAAATACTGAGTCTGACAGCGTATGAAGTGTTTCCCACCCATGGTACCTCACCTCAACAAAGAAAGGAAAGAGGTTCATATTCTCATCTCTTCTTCAGTCAGTTAGAAAACGTTATTTTTTTAACATTTTAATTTATTTTTTTGTTTTTGACATTCTTTTAAAGTTTTAGTTCCAGATTCTCGCCCTACTTCTCCCTCCTCCTCTTCCACCCACTGAGAAGGCAATCAATGCAATATCAATCGTACGTGTGAAATCATGCAAAACGTATTTCCATATTAGCCACGTTTTTTAAAAGCAAGAAAGATAAAGTGATAAAATTATACTTCGGTTTGCACTCAGAGGTCATCAGTTCTCTTTCTGGAGGTGGATAGCATGTTTTCATCATGAGTCCTTTAATCGGTCAACATTTTAAAAGCACCTACTCCGTGCCAGGCACTGTGCTAAGTTCTGGGAACATGATCGTTTCCATAGCACCCCCCCCATTTATGTTGTAGTTATTTCATATATTGTTTTCTTTGTTTTACTTATCTTGCTTCCTATCAGTTCGTGCAAATCTTTTTATGCTTCTCTGAAATCTTCACACCAGTTGTTCTTACAGCATGGTAACCTTCAGTGTATTACACTGTATTCATGTACTGCAGTCTCACCAGCCCCAAGTCGATGGACATGCGCTTTGTTTCCAGTTCTTTGCTGTGACAAACAGCGTCAGAAGCCATTTTTGGCATCCCAGAAGCCCCTCAGCCTTCTTCACTCCTTAAGATCTGTGAAACTTGTGGAGTGAAACCAGGGTTCCTGATGGTTTAATTTCAGCCAGGGAGCTTTTACTGAGCAGCTGTTTGCTTATGCTGTCGGCTGGACAAGAAAAGGAAACATGGACCTTGAGCTCAGGAAACTAATCCATAGTCTGGCTGGGGAGCCAAGACATGGGGGCCAGTGAAATACGGAGAGTAGATGTGGACTCCGCTAAGGCATGTGGTATAGACAGCAGGGCTGCGGAGCTCACTGGGATGCAGTGCCTCCTGAAGCTCAGGAGTGGAGCCAGGGCTGACCATTGTCAGATTGTGGCTGCCTGCCCCATGTGCTTCCTTAGGATCTCAGGGCAGCTGCTGACATGTAAGATGCCTGGTGGGTGTTTGAAGTTATAGATTGGGCAGAGATGTTTGAGTTCATTTAGTCTGACAGCCTTCTCCTGCCCTTGATAAAGCATGGGGCCAACTCATGAGGCTCTGAGAGGCGGTGGATGCAAGAGGGCCTGGGTTCGAATCCTAGCTCTACCACTTACTGTTTGTATGACTTTGGGCTGATCTCTTAAGCTCTCTGGGCCTCACTCCTCGTTGGAAAATTGAGGGAGTCAGAACAGACAGTCTTGAGCATCCCTTTCAGCTCTAGAATTATGAACCTTTCCTGATCCTTTCATGTCTCCTCTAAAATTATCTTTGTGTTTAAAAATATGCTAGTATATGGATTCAAGGCAGGAACAGGCTCATTTTTGTCTTTGCGGCCCCAGAACCTAGCTTGTGCCTAGGACCCAAAGGCACTCTTCAGATCCCTCCATCCCTCTCAGTGTTCTTTATTAGGCAGGGAGCTTCATGTCCCTGGAAGCGTTGGAGCAGAGCTGACTGGCTTGGGAGGGGATTGCTACATTTGGTGAAAGGTTGGACCAGACAGCAGAGGCCCCTTCCTTGTCTGGGATTCTGGGGTTTTGTCCAGATCAGAAGCATCTGTGAAACTCATTTATGCTGCGGTGTTAGTGACGGCTGGTGAAAAGGTGACCAAGGAAGTGTCAGTAGTTTTGTGGCCACATGCCTGATGTCCCATCTGTACAAAATTTTCCATCTCTAAACCCTCCCAGGAATATTTGCCTGGAAAGGGAACTACTTAATCCAAATGAATGAAACTATAATGGTGGATTTCCAGGCACTTGGTCAGGCCAGTAGAACAGGGGCCCTTATAATCACTTCACGTAAGCAGCCACCCAGTCTGCCCAGAGCCAAGGCCAGTCTGGTGCTAAGAATAAGCTCCTTGGGGCCTTCAGAGACTGCTTCTGTTCCAGTGCCTGGAACCTTGCCAGCTGAGTGTGGGCATCTCAGTGCCTGCTTGGTGATTAATGAACAAAAGCATTACAGGCTCTTCCTCATTCGACTTCATGAGAGGCAGTGTGGGGGAAAACATGCTGCAGTCTCACACTTTGGGTTCTGTCCTGCCTCAGGCACTCCTAGCTCAGAGACCAGGCGAGTCACTAGATTTCTCTGAGCCTCAGTTTCCTTATCCATAAAATGGGGCTGACAGTACACTCCAGCTCGTGGCATCGTGCTTTGTCAACCCTGACACGCTCAGTTAAGTTGTGATGCCAAGGAGTCAGGCCATTTTGGATTAGTGTTCACTCCTCCTTATTTTTAGTTCCCTTTCCTTTAGCATTCCTGGAAGCTACCCTCCCTCTGGCTCCATTCATGATCTAAAACAGTAAGGCTCCCAGACTAAGATGCAGTGAGGTGGTCGGGGGAAGCTGAACAGGGCCTCCACAACGGAACCTGCCTGGGAGGGCAGGCGTTCACTAACCTAGCTCCCCTCTGTCATCCTTACCTCCAGCACCTGGCCTACAAAGCCTTTCGCAGCCTGCACCTGGTCTGCCTTACTAACCTTGTTACACAAAACTCCCCTTCCTGGGCGTGGTGGTCCAACCACAGGGACCCGATTACTGTCCCTCATACCCAGCGCTCCATTTCCTATCTCTTTACCTTTATACCAGCCATCATGCATGCCGGGAATGGACTGTCTCCCCACCTCTGCCCAGTGGAATACTTATTTTTCATCAAGGTTCAGCATGAGTTCTATCCTTTCCTCCTTGCCCCTCCCCACCAATATGCTATTAGTGCCTCATTCCCCTAACCCCAAACGATCTTGCATCTATTTACACCATCAAGTATATATGTAGATGTACTGCCTCCCCCACCCCCTAAAATAAGCCCCTTGGAGGTAAGGACTGTGGTATGTCTAGCATCCACCACAGTGCTTCCCCATAGTAGATACTTACTATGACAATTGTTGATTGATTAAACATTTCCAAGGAGGGGACAGGACAGCCAGGTGGCAGAGTGAGTGGATACAGAGCTGGGCCTGGAGTCAGGAAGACCTGATTTCAAATCCGGCCTCAAACACTGCTGTGTGACCCTGGGTAAGTCACTTCACCCTGTTTGCCTCAGTTTCCTCATCTGTAACATGAGCTGGAGAAGGAAACGGCAAACCGCTGCAGTATCTTTGCCAAGAAAACCCCAAACGGGGTCACAGAGAGTGGGACAGGACTGAAGATGACTGAACAGCAACGAAGAGGGGACGTTCTTTTTACGTGGAATGATCTTCTCAGTTTGGTATAGGAGTTTCCCCAGTGTTTTCATATCCAGTATTTCATTTCCGCTTTATAATAACACTTTTAATTTTTGTATTATGTTTACCTATTAAAATTGTGTATAATTATAAAAGTATGCATCTTTCAAAGATATATTTTGTTGATGGCTTTTAAAATACATCCTAGTCCCTTCTCAGCCCCTCCAGATCGAATCCTTCCAATTAGGCAAAAACCGTCCTCCTCAGAGCCTTGCTTGGCAGTGTGTGCTCTGACGGTGGGGGGAGGGGACGGGGAGGGGGAGGCGGAGGCGGTAACCTTTGGTGCCTTTTCCTGAAGACCCAAACTAGTTTTTTTCCGTTACTCAGAGTTCAACTTCTTGGAGTCATCTTTCTGTCCACACCAGCTCTGTTTCTGCCCACCACAGTCTTTTCAGTATCGGAATCTATTCCATTTGATAACAATCTTTTCTTGTGCTTTCATGTGAACCGCTCCCATATATGATGCATAGAGGAGGGCACCGATCACATGCATCTGTAAAATGGGAGAGTGGGGGTCCCTGGCCTCTGAGATCCCTCGCAGCTGTGTGCCACTATCCATGCTGCTTCTCCCCCTCGAGATCGGTTCAGAGCTCGGGGATGCAAAAACACCACCAAGTTAGACGGAGAATAGCTGTGAGCCCAAAGGATTTTTCTAAAGGAGAGAGAATATGACAAAACCAACCCCATGTTAAAATGTGTGGTAAAAGAGGGCTCCCTTCCCTCCTCAGTGAACAAGGAAGGCCCCATGCGCCTGAGCCTGAGGCACCTAGAAAATGTCCTGCCAGAAGAAGAGCGACAGAAGGGGGTGGGAGAAGCATGGCTGAAAATGAGCAGAAGAGAAGGAATTTCGGAGGAAAACTCAAGCAAGCCGGGCAGCTTTGAATGGAACATGGGGAGTTAATTAAATGCTTTAAAAAAAAAAAAGCAGGTTGTATGTCATAGAGATTTGTACTTGGCCACAGAATTCTTATTTTCAGTTCTATATTAAACGTGGAAATCTTCGTTATTTTGGTTGGCCACTAAATTTAGAATAAAAAGATTCAAGCTAAAGATAGAAAAAGCATTTAACTATAAAACATATAGTATGTCATAATTATATAGCATATAATACATTCTATAATACAATTCCATAAAAATAGAAAAAATGGTCACTTAAGCTACAAAATAGACAAAAAATATGCTTCCAGCTACAGAATAGAAAGCAAAGAAGGAAGTGGGTGCTTTGGGGAGGTGATGGGTTCACCCTCCTTGGGGCACACCGAGCAAGGCCCAGATGGCCAGCAAAGCAGGTGCGGCAGTGGGCGGGAGGCCTCTCAGGTCGACCGGATGGTGGCCATCTTTTTGCCTTCACTGTCTGATTCTGTGAAACCGTTCAGCCCAGCCCGGGAATGAGAAAGCAGAGTTCTTCAGAGGAAGTGGCATGTGTTATTAAGAGGAAGTGGCATGTGTTGGTCGCCTTGGCGGAGCCAGAATTGTTTTTACCCTCTGCCACATGATGAAAAAGCATCGAGCATGTCCTTCCCCTCCCCTCTTTCAGTGAAGTGACAGCGCTGCCTATTTTTAAAAGGATACAAGTAAACACCTGTGGAAAACCATTCAGATTGTTCTGTCCAGCCAAGTAGCTCCTAACCCATTCACACGTTCTTATATTTTTTGTTTCTGTGAAGAGTTATTTTTACAGAACAAGGACAGAGCAAGTCAGTAATGTACGTTGCCCAAGGTGGCTCAGGGTGGGGTGGGGAAAGAAGCTATGCTGTGTGCTGGGAGTCCTTAACATTCTTTGTGCCATTGACTCTTTGGCAGCCAAGGGACCCCAACATTTTTAAAGGCTTAAAATATGCAGGATTGCAAAGGTTATATCAAAAGACAGTTATCAAAACTTTTTTTAAAGTTCATGGATCCCAGGTTATGAACCCCTGCTCCATGTGAAGAGGCGTCTAAATAGTTAATGGTCTGGGAGTTTTTAACCCTCTTGCTACCATATGCTGCTGGGACACCTGGGAGTGTTAATAACTGGCGGTTCATTCATTTATGTTGTTCAGTTTTTTGGCCGCGTCTGGCTCGTCATGACCCCATTTGGGACTTTATGGTAAAGATATGGAGTGGGGTTTTGTCATTTCCTTCTCCAGCTCATTTTACAGATAAGGAACTGAGGCAGACAGGGTGAAGTGACTTGCCCAAGATCACACAGCTAGTAAGTGTCTGGGGCCAGATTTGAACTCAGGAAGATGAGCCTTCCTGCCTCCAGGCCTGAGGCTCTGTGTACTGTGGCGCCCCCCAACTGCCCTTGTGCACACCCCTAATGCCGGTATCTTCTCTTGTCTCTCATCACAGTTGGTAACTTCAGCCAGGCACAACTTTCTTCAGGACAGTTTGTATAAAGAAGGAATCTTAATTGTGTGGGACCCCTCTCCATACCATTCTGAGATCCCAGAGGTAAGTGGGAATTCTCGAGCAGAGGGTGATCAGAATGGTGAGGACGCTGTTGAATACACTGACATCAGATCGACTGAAGGAACTGGGAAGAGCGGAGAGGATGTATGGGAATGGGCTACCTGTCTCTTAAAGACTCTTACGTACCCCACCAGGGCAGTCATAAGGAAGAGGGATTAAGCTTGTTTTGCTTGGCCCCAGAGGACTGCGCAGGGGGAGGGAGGGAGCTGTCCAGAAACGGAGTGGTGTTCTTGCAGTTTAGTGGGTTCCCTCTCGCTGGAAAGTTGTCCCAAGCCAGTCCTTTAGCACTGACATTCCATTATGGTTTACAGTGACCACTAAAGTGTTACAGCCATGTTAGCTGTCCCCAGGTGTGGAAGGGCATGTGCCACTAAAAGAAATTCCAAGATCATCATAATGGAGCTAGAAGTGGATGGGACCTCGCAGGCCATCTAGTCCAACGGATAAAGAAACTGAGGTCCAGGAGAATGAGGTGACTTAGGATCCTGGCTCTAGAGCTGGAAGAGACCAATCCTCCCATCTTACAGAGGAGGAAACTGAGGCCTGGGAGATGACGTGTCTTGCCACAGGAAGCATGTGGAATAGCCAGGATTCAGTTGACGTACATTTATTAAGGGCCAGGCGCCGTGCTGAGGGGTAGTGACACAAAGACAGATTTCCAACAGTGCCTGTCCTTAAGGAGCTTACATTCTAACTGGGGAGACAGCGCACTCACACGTGGGTATAGATATCAGACGAGTGTTTTCTTTTTCAGTGGTACAAGAAACCTGACTACGATTTCTTTCAAAAGTACAAGCAATATCGCAAAGAGAACCCCCGCCAGCCCTTTTATATCCTCAACCCCAAGATGCCATGGGAGCTTTGGGACATCCTTCAGGAGAATTCCCCGGAGGATATTCAACCAAATCCCCCATCCTCAGGCATGCTTGGTGAGTCATTGCCGAGAGGTAGCTGGGCCTTGGTTTACCACGGTGTTGGATTCTGGGTCCACATATTCACCGAGCACCTAATACGGCCAATATACTATGCTAGGTGCTTTGGGGGAGGGGGGAATGTGGTCGGTTAACCGATCGATAAGCATTTGTTAAGCCCTTACTATGGGCCAGGCCTTAGGCTTGGTGCTAGGGATACAAAACAAAAGAATCGAATAGTTTCTGTCCTCAGAGAGCTTACTCCATGGTGCTCGTAGGCTAGCAGTGAGTAAGATTCCAGTAACTAGTCTGCAGTTTAATGTAAGATAAGCCCTGCATGGAGCAGACAGAGTGCCCGCCTTGGAGTCAGGAAGGCATCGGTGCAAACCCTGCCTTAGGCACAGAATGACCATCGTCCTGGGCAGTTCACAGCCTCCGAGTCCCTAAGAGAGGCACCCGTTTGGGCTGGCATTTACTGAGCCCCCATAATGTATCTGGGGGGCCTGGTATCAGGGACAAAAAGGTAGAAATGAAACTCTCCCTGGGAAGGGCGGATGGGTGCTCCCCTCTGGGGGAGGGTCTTAAAGGCTGAGCAGAATTTTGAGCAGCAGGGAAGAGGAGCAGGCGTCCCAGAAAGAGGAGGTCGAAGGCATGGGAAAGCTTCACAGTGAGTTTGGGAACAGCCGTCATGGGATCAGATGCTGGAAGGAATCTTGGAATCTATCCCCTCGTTTTACAGAGAGGGAAGGTGAGGTCCATGGGGTTTTAGACCTAGAACGGGAAGGGGCTTCAGAGACCATCTGTTTGACAGGGGCAGAAAGCGAGGTCTGGAGATGAGGAGGCTTGCTCTGTGGCACAAAGGGAGGGAGTAGTGAAGGCTAGATTCACACCCAGGTCCTCCGGTCATAAACCCAGCGCTTTTTCCACCATCCCACAATGCCCACCAAGATGTGTCGAGTTTGGACAAAGAGGAGGCCATGGGGAGCCGTGAAAGCCAGAGTCTTGAATGTACTCTTGGGTGCCAAATCTGTCCCACCTCCCCCTTTGCCCACATGGTCCTCCTCTTCTTTTCTGATGCCTCAGATTCTCCTAAAAATTGGACCGATTTCCCTAGGCAGCATGTTTGATTCTAGGAGAATTCTTGAGAGCAATTGGGGTCACACCCATGGTAGTTTTCTTAATGCTCTGGTGTGTGGACTTCTGGCCATCCTTGGGGGTAGTTTGGGCTGGGAGCAGTCAGGAATTTACCCTCAGATCTTAGGAATGCAGCTGGTCCATCAATCCCTAGGAATCAGGTCCCGTATTGGGCATGCTGGTGGAGACCAGAGCAAAGAGCTGAGTCCGAGGAATTCCAGGCACTTTGTGCTCCACTCCTTACTGTCTTCCCTGTCGCGGTCCTCTCTGCTCTTTTCAGCACTGGCACACTCTTCCTCTTCACTGCTTCCTGCCCTTCAGGCTTCAGATGCTCTTGGAGCTCCCGTCTCTTGAAAAAACCATCCCCTAATTCTGCCATCCTAGTCCAGGCACTGCCCGATCTCTGCCCTTCCTTTCACTGCCTGGCAGAGTGGTTAACACACTGGACATGGAGTCAGGAAGGCCTGGGTTTGAATCCTGCCATAGAATCCTACTAGCTGTGTCACCTTAGGCAGGTGGCTTCACCACCCTGCTCTTCAGTTTCGTCCTCTGTGAAATGAGAGAGATTGGATTAGACAGATTCTGAGGTTCTTCCTCTCTAGCTCCTAGGAGCCTCTGTCTCTAAATTCAGTGTTCTTTCTACCATGTCATACTATTTTTCTATGATGGGGGATTAACTTTTTAACATATTATCTCCCTCTCCCTCCCTCTCTCCCTCCCCCCTCCCTTTCCCCCTCTCCCCCCCTTTCCCTCCCTTTCCCTCCCTCCCTCTCTCCCTCTCCCCCTTTCCCTCTCCCCCTTTCCCTCCCTTTCCCTCCCTCCCTGTGTCCCTCTCCCCCCCTTTCCCTCCCTTTCCCTCCCTCCCTGTGTCCCTCTCCCCCCCTTTCCCTCCCTTTCTCTCCCTCCCTGTGTCCCTCTCCCCCCCTTTCCCTCCCTTTCCCTCCCTCCCTGTGTCCCTCTCCCCCTTTCCCTCCCTCCCTGTGTCCCTCTCCCCCCTTTCCCTCCCTTTCCCTCCCCCTGTGTCCCTCTCCCTCCCTTTCCCTCCCTCCCTGTGTCCCTCTCCCCCCCTTTCCCTCCCTCCCTGTGTCCCTCTCCCCCCTTTCCCCTCTCCCCCCTTTCCCCCCTTTCCCTCCCTCCCTGTGTCCCTCTCCCCTCCTTTCCCTCCCTCCCCTCCTCTCCCTCCCTTTCCCCCTCTCCCCTTCCTTTCCCTCCCTCCCTCTCCCTCCCTTTCCCCTCTCCCCCCCTCCCCCCTCTCCCCCCTTTCCTTTCTTCCCTCTCCCTCCCTCCACTTCTCTCTCTCCATCTCTCTTTCTTTCTCAGGCATTGTGATCATGATGAGCCTGTGTGACAAGGTGGATGTATATGAATTTTTGCCCTCAAAGCGCAAAACAGACATTTGTTACTACTACCAGCGCTTCTTTGACAGCGCGTGCACCATGGGCGCCTACCACCCGCTGCTCTTTGAGAAAAACATGGTGAAGCACCTTAACCAAGGGGCGGATGAGGACATTTACCTGAAGGGGAAGGTGACCGTGTCTGGGTTCCGGAACGTCCGCTGCTAGCAGCTGGGCGAGGCCCCGGTCTGCTATGCCCTCCCTGCCTCTCCTACCGACCCAAAGGCCTTTTCCGAAGCACGTCGACCAGCCCAGAAGGTTCCCCTCTGCCACTCCACTGCCGGGAAGCCGTTCCCTTCATTCTGATTGCATCCTGTCGCGTCCATCATGTCCCGAGGCCGGGGAAGCTGGAGGCTGGTCAGGTCCAGCGGACTGAGGTCAGAGAAGATGGGCGCGTCCTGCCTCTGTACGCAGAGCTGAGGGTCGAACCCAGACACGCAGAGGGCTCCCTCTCCAACAGGCCTTTCCTGGGGCTTGCTGGAAGGCCAGCTTTCCTGGTTAGCTTCAGTCTCTGATGGTAGAACCAGTCCCCAGCTCCCTCCCCAAGCCGATGGCACTCGCTCTGTCTGTGGCTGATGCAGTTCATGTGGAGGAATCGTGGTGTGGGGCTTCACATTCTCAATCCTTAGCATCCTGAAGGGCTGTGTCAGACCTGACTCAGGCTAAGCGGTGCCCATCTGGCAGTGTCAAGCATTTTTTTTGGTCTCAGATGTTTTGCTTTAGGGAAGTAGGCTGCTAACAATATCATTTCCCACCCCCTCCCTAGCCCCCAAGTCTCCTGCTTTGGGGGCTGACCTCTGCTGGGCCTGGGCTGTCCTGGTGCCCAGAAGGCAGCTTCGGTACCACTTAGTCACTCTCTTTGCATGTTTCCTCTCTTGGGGCTGGGTCCCAGCTCTGCCTCTTTCTGGTTGGGGGATGTCGGGCAGATCATGGCATCTCTCTGAGCCTCAGTTTCCCCATCTGTAAAATGGGGATAATACAGCTACCTACCTCACAGGGTTGTTGTGGGGCTCCAATGAGAGACTGTCTGTGAAGTACTTAGTAACTGTAAAGTGTTCTCTGAATGTGACTGGACGTCGTGAATGGTTTGTTTTTCTGTACAGCGACTGCCCGTGTTCTCTGAAGTCTACCACTGGAGGGAAGCAGTATGTATGTTTGAATTTGAGTGTTTGGTTGACACAGAGTCATAGGAGCAAAGAAAGGACCTTGGTGACTGTCTAGTGCAGGTGTTTGAAACCCGAGGTCTGCCGATTCCCGGGGGTCCTTGGATAGATTTCCAGCGGCCCACAATCTTGGATGAGCAAAAAGCGGCATCTTTATTTTCACTAACCTCTCCTTGAAATTGTGCATTTCCTTTGATTGTGAATGTAAGCAATGAAACATCATTCTGAGAAGGGTCCACAAGCTTCATCGGACTTTCTAAGGGGTCCGTGACACACAGAAGGCAAACAATCCCTAATCTAGTCTGAACCCTCATCTTAACGGATGATTTTGGCTGAGTTCTAGAGAGGTTAAATGATTTTTCCAAGTTTATGCAGGCAGGAAATAGCAGAGTTGCAATTTGAATCCTGTTCTACTGACTTAAACCAGCTTGTTTTCCAAGACACCGCTGGTTTTTTCCTGACCACTCGCTGTGTGCCCAGCCCTATGCCAGGCTCTACTGGGTAGGAGAGAAGTGATGGGGACATGGTGACTCAACCTAGCATGAGAAAGGGAGTATAAGACACCCAGGACAACCAAAGCAAGGCAGTGAACGATTCACGCACAAGCGAGCTCGTGGAAGGGCCATTAAATGGAATTACGACAGGTAACAGACGCTCCTGGAAAAGTCCACAGGCGTGGAGAGTGGTGGAGGCAGACGACATTATGTTTGATTTCTAAGATCTCTTTCCATTCTTAAGCTTCTGATTTTATGACTCGGTCCCCCACCCCTTTAATACGCCTCCAGCTCAGATATGATACTGCTATTGAATCTGTGTCACCTTCTGGGCTTTCAGAATTTCTTAAAAAAAAAAAGGAGGGGGGAGACTCCTGAACCTTGGGAGTTCCGAGCTCTGTTCTCTTGGCAAAATTGTTCTGATATTTGATTCTGGGATACAAAAGGCAGTGAACCGAGATCATTGAGGTATTCAGTGGGGATACTGGGAATAGTAACTGTGATGGTCAGAAACCAATCTTCTATCCAAATGTTCCACTTAATTTAAGGACACTCTTGAGGCTGTAATATTTTGAAATCTGTATTCTGTATATGGAGAAATAAGGTGAAATAAGATTGAAATAGAATTACTTCAGTGTTGGTCTCCTGAGATAGTTAATGATGACTATAAGATTTCCATGACTTGGTGCTGTGGGCAGGTCTTGTGTTCAAGTAGCTTTTTGTCTTCATTCCCACGTTGAAATCTGTCATCCCGCAGCATACCTGTCTGATCCTTTCAACTAATCATATGAGCTTCTAGGGTTGGCATAGAGTTGCAATAGCAGACTCAGAGACTTCTGGGTCCCAGAAGACCTGAGAAAGCTGTGGAAATTAACTGGGAATAGCCAAAGAAATTGTACAAATTTTAATAAATTTTGTTTTGTAAAAGTTGATTCCTTTCCTTTTTTCCCAAACTTTGATATTGCCGGGATACTGGAATCTATGGATATGGGGACTTCTTCCATTTTGCAGCGGGCTGCCTGTCATGCCCAGGTTAAACATGGAGTCCTTGGTCGGGAACATAAAACCCTTCAGCATGAACGCATTTGGATGTATGCATTCATTTGGCAGTCACAGGGTGTCCCCAGAGTCTTTGAGGTTGGAAGCTTTGACGGCTTCTTAAACTTCATTTCTGTCTTTGTGTTTCTGGCACTTTGCACCGTTCCTGGCACACAGCAGGCACTCGATAAATGCTCGTCGATTGATTGATTAAGGACTGGCATTAAAGGACATTCAGCCAACTCCCTTATTTGCAGATGAGGAAACCCAGGCCTAAGCAGTCGATCAACAAGCATTTATGAGGTGCCCGCTAAGCGCCAGGTGTCGTGCTGGGTGCTGAGGTTGCAAAGGCAAAAATGAAACTACCCCTTCCCTCAAGGAGCTTCCAATCTATGAAGGAGGCAGCCGGCACACACAGAGAGGTCTGTACAAAACCCATGTAAAATCAGTGGCCCAATTCAAGATGACTTGGGGGGAGTGAGCTAAGCTCTGAAGGGAGCTGGGGCTTCTGAGGGGCGGAAGGCTTCAAGAATGAAGAAACGAATGAATGAATGAAGCCTTTATTACTCTGTTCCAGACGTGCTCCAATGCAAACTGGTAAAAATATCAATATAAAATATGCATATGATACAGATGCAAAATATACAGATGCAGACATAAAAATTGATACAAATATAAAAAATTGATAGGTTATACCCTCAGGATACATTCTAACAGGGGAGACAAAACATTGAAAAAAAGAGGAAAAGAAGTGCAGGAGAGGGAAACAAGAAGGATGATTTTGATATTATTTTGTTAACTTTAATATATGTGCGTGTATGTAGATGTGTATATGTGTGTGTGTGTGTGTGTGTGTGTGAGAGAGAGAGAGAGAGAGAGAGAGAGAGAGAGGGAGGGAGAGGGGAATGAAAAGCTTGAGAGATAGAATTTCTAGGTAATTAATCAATTTTAATTATGGCTAGAAAATAATAAATTGAGGTCAGTGGTTCTCTCAGAAACCGAAGACAAATCTCGGAGACCGTGGACTAACTAAATATCTTTGGAGAAGGGGTGTCCCTGAGGGTGGAAATCAACTCTGGTTAGCAATTAGTGAGGAGGTGGACATGTTAATGAAGAGGTGGGCAAAATTTTTTCAGCTCCTCCTGTTGGAAATGTGACCTGATCGTGAGACTCAGTTGCCTCTGGCAATCTGGACAAAAGAATCCATCTCTATCCATACCCCTCTGGTTGGTTTTCCTCTTCATAAGCTGGTTCACCCTAAATTCTAATGGAAGGTTCCAAGGACAGAGGCTTATTTCCTAAGGACAAGACCTCACCTAGACTGAGTTCTGTTCTTAAGGTCTTCTATTTGGGTGGGGTCCCACCCAAGACTGAGAAGCATCTATCCAGAGGATATAATCTCATCTGTCAGCAATGTCCTTCAGAGACAAGTTGAATAACCTACAGTGGCTGGTTTCTAGATGAGGAAAAAGGAAGGGAAAACCTTAAACCTGATTTAACAATTGGTTATTAATATGGTAGAAAATAATCATTTCTCTCAATATACACATACACACAACAATCAACAAAAACTCATTAAGCACCTAAGTGCTGGGGCTAGCTACAAAATGAAGCAAGACAGTTCCTGCTGTCAAGGAGCTCACAATCTCACAGTCTGTAACGGGGCAGAAATCACACAAACAAATATACACAAAGCAAGTTAAAAATGAGATAAATAGGATATAATTAACAGAAGGAATGCACTGGAATGAAGGGCTGGGGGAAGGCTTCCTGTAGAAGGTGGGATTTTAGTTGGGACTTCAAGGAAGTCAGAGAGGTCAGTAGTGAGAGTGGAAAAGAGAGAGCATTCCAAGGATGGGGGACAACCAGAGAAAATGCTCACAGTAGAGAAAAGGAAGGACTTGTTTGTGGAACAGCCAGGAGGCTGGTGTCACGGGATCAAAGAAATGTAAGAAAACTGGAAAAGTAAGAGTTTACGAAGGGCTTTGACAAATAGAGCATTTTGTGCTTGTTCCAGGAGGTAATAGGGAGCTGCTGGAGTTTATGGAATAGGAGGGTGACATGGTCAGATCTGCCCTTTAGGAAATTCACTTTAGTGGCTGAATGGAGGATGGATTGGAGTGGGGAAGAGGCCTGAGGTAGGCAGACCCACTAGCAAACTATTACAACAGTTGAGGTGTGAGGTGATGAGGTCTGCACTAGAGTGATGGCAGTGTCACAGGAGAGAAGATCCAAGAAGATCCAAGACATGTTGCAAAGGTGAAATCAACTGGTCTTGGCAGCATCTTGGATATGGGGGAGAGAGATAGTAAGGAAGCCAAGATGACTCCTAGGTTGTGAAGTTGAGACACTGGGATGTGTGGCTCTCCATAGTAATAGGAAAGTAGGAGTGGGCATGGTTTAGGGGAAAAGATAAGGAGTTCAGCTTTGCACTTGTTGAGTTTAAGACGTCTGTTTGAGATGTCTGAAAAGCAATTGGCGGTGTGAGATTGGAGGTCGGTAGAAAGATTGGGACAGAATAGATATATCTGAAGATCCAGCAAAGCAGAGCAGGAGAGAGTTGTCAGAGGCCAGCAAAGAGATCGGGCCAGGAAAAGTAGATTTGAGAGTCAGCGTAGAAATGGTAATTAAATCCATGGGATCTGATGAGATCACCAAGGAAATAGTATTGAAGGAGAAGAGGAGCAGCTCTAGGACAGAACCCTGAGGGACACCTATGGATAGAGGGTGTGAGGAACAGTCAGATAGGAAGGAGGAAAACTAGGAGAGAGTAGTGTCCCAGAAACTAAACTCAAGGAAGAACGGTGATCAACAGTGTCAAAAGTTGGGCCTTCGCCAGTGGATCTGTACCCTCCATCTGGCTCATCACATGTTGCCACTGTGGTGAATCTTGGGAAGGCTGCTAAAAATCAAGATGAGTCAAAAAAATGGCTCTTCCCCCCAAAGAGACAGAAGACAGTGAGGATAAGCATGTTTCAGAAAATGAAGAGGAAAGCAATGAAGGAGGGATTGTGGTCCCTCAGAAGAGGGGCAAGAAGGCAGTGGCTACTCCAGCAAAGAAGGTACCACCAATCAAAAAAACTGTTGTTGCACCACAAATGCCAAGAAAGCAGCTGGTAAGAAGGCAGCCGTGGCACCAGCAAAGAACGTGGCTGCCCATCCAAAGCTGTCATCACACAAGGGAAGAAGGGAGCCAGCCCAGCAGAAGCGGCAGCACCTCTGACTGTCGGGGCAAAAAATGGGAAGAATGCCAACAAACAGGGCAGCTAACCTGGAGAAGTGGATAGTGGTGTGAGGCGGGTGAAGAATTTGAGCCACCCAAGGCCATAAAAGTGGGAGCAGCTGCGGCCAAACACGGCACTCGGGATGAGGAGAAAGATGATATTGATGAAGATGAAGAAGACGAGGATGACTGTAGGAGCTGTGGATCCCATACCTGCCAAAGGGAAAGGCTGCCCCTGGGCAAGCAGGGAAAGTCAAGGAACTGGAGGAGGAGGAGGAGGAGGAGGAGGAGGAGGAGGAAGCAGCCATCTAAGAAGCACCAGGGAAGAGGAAAATGGAAATGGTCAAATAGCAAGCCCCTGAAGACAAGAAACAAAAATTGGAGGCTGAAGCATATACAGATGTCACTCTCTTTGCTGGTAACCTGAATTTCAGCAAAACCATTTCTGAGCTAAAAGCTGGCATCATGAACTCCTTTTCAGAAAAGAACCTTATGATTGTGGTTGTCTGCATCGGCACCACCAGGGAGTTTGCTTATATGGAATTTGAATCATCTGGGGACATGGAAAAAGCTCTAGAACTTTGGCTCCAAAGTCCTTAGGTCTGAAGTGAAACTGGAAAATATCAAGGTACAAGGACGCTCTTCATCAAGAGTCTATCTTGTAACCTACATGAACAAAAATATTCATAGCAGCTCTTTGTGTGGTAGCAATGAAGTGGAAATTGAGAGGACGCTTATCAACTGGGGAATGGCTGAAGAAGTTGTGGCATGTGATTGTGGTGGACTTCTATTGTGCTATAAGAAATGACAAGGAGGATGGTTTCAGGAAAACCAGGGAAGACTTAGATGGGCTGATGCAAAGTGAAGTGAGCCAAACCAGGGGGATACTGTGCACAGTAACAGCAGTATTGTAATGATGATCAACTCTGAAAGACTTAGTCATTCTCAGCAATGCAATGATGTAAGCTAATTCCTAAGTTCTTATAATGAAAAATGCTATCAACCTCTAGAGAGGGAACTGATGCTCTCTGACTTCAGATTGAAGTATAATTTTTCATTTTCTTTATCTTTCTTCCTTTTTTTTTTTTTTACAACCTGGCTAATATAGAAATATATTCTGTGTGATCTCACACATATAATTTATATTATCTTGCTTACCTTCTCAGTGGGTGGGGGAGAGACTGGAGGGAGGGAGAAAATTTAGAACTCAAATTTTTTTTCCAAAAGGAATATTAAAAATAAATAAATAATGAGTTTATGTTTTTTAAAAAAATTTGTTTTGAAAGAATCTGTTTTGTAAGGTAACTGAGGAGGAACTCAAGGAATTGTTTGAAAATGCTATTAAGGTTAGACTGGTCTGCACTAACATGAGACAACCAAAGGGATTTCCTACGTTGAATTTAAGACCAAAACAGAAACAAACAAGGTTTCACATGGAAGTGAAACAGGGAACTGAGATTGATGGGTGGTCACTGATTCTGGGCTACACAAGAGAGAGAAGTCAAAGGTGAGAAAATTCAAGAGGTGGAAAGAATAATGCTTGGAGTGGGGATAACAGCAAGCTAGCAGGCGTGCCTATGGTGCCATTGAAGAAAGTCCCCAGGGGCGGCTGGGTGGCACAGTGGATAGAGCACTAGCCCTGAAGTCAGGAGGACCTGAGTTCAAATCCGG